CAAGGCCGAGTGGGGGGGGTCTGGGGCGGAGCAGGGGTGACTGTGCCGCGGCCCCACTGTTTCCCAGACCGCGGTGAGTGCCGCTGTGGCAAGTGCCTCTGCAAACCGGACTACGAGGGCTCGGCCTGCCAGTGCCAAAAGTCTGAAGAGGGCTGCCGGAACCTGCGGGGGTCCGTCTGCAGTGGCCGTGGCCAGTGCATCTGCAACACGTGCCAGTGTGACACGGGCTACCAGCCGCTCTTCTGTGAGGAATGCACAGTGTGCCCACAGTTCTGCAGTAACTCCAAGTGAGTGCTCCCCCTGCTTGAAACCGGTGAACTTGTGAGCCCCCAGCAGAAATCCGCTGCCCGGCTGGGGCCCCAGGAGGAGAGGGGGGCTGCCCTCCTCCAGACTGCCGCGCACCCACTGCCGTCCTTCAGTTCCAAGAGCCACGGCCATCTGGGGCCCCATCCGTCAGGCTTCCAGGTCCCAGGAGCTCTGCCCACCTCACTCCCCAGGAGCGTCACCTCCCGCCCCAGCCACAAAGGTCACATGGGCACCAGCGTCAGCCCCTGGGCAGCCAGGACCAGCCCCACCAGGGCCACCCCGGTGCCCAGACACCAGCACTCTCTCATAGTGTTGCCCACGCTCACACATGGGCAACACAATTTTACTCCCTTCGCACACATGCTCACGCAGGTCCTGTGCCGAGTGCCTGAAGTTTGACAAAGGCCCCTACATGAAGAACTGCAGTGTGGCGTGTCAGAAACTGAAACTGCTGAGCAAGCCCCATGAGCGGAGTTCGTCAAGGAACCCCAAGCTGACCCGGAAGTGCAAGGAGCGTGACTCCGAGGACTGCTGGATGTCCTACACCCTGTGGCAGTTGGATGGGAAGGACACACATGACATCCACGTGGAAGAGATTCGAGGTGAGTCCCTGCCAGATGGGACATGGGCACCAGACCTGGAGTCATGGGGCCTCTTGTGATGGCGAATCTGCTGCACAGGGCTCTGAGCTCATGGGAAGGCGGGCCTGGCAGGGTCATGCCAGCATCCAGGACTGTGGGCCTCCTGCCCTGGACTCCAGTCTCTGACCTTACCTTCTGGAATGTGAGGGGTAGGGGACAGCTTGTGCCCTAGCTCAAGGGGATGGGACCCTGCTGGAGGGACGATATGGCCCGAGCTGGTGATACCCCCAGGGATGCTGGCCAAGTAAGTCCTGGATCCCTGTGTCCCAGAGTTGGTCCGGGGACAGCTATGTGGCCAGTGGACAATTTGCATGCTCAGAGCTCAGCCCTGGTGCAGGGGAATCCAAGGCTCCCAGGAGACCAGGCATCCAGTTTCCCAAGTGCTGCTCACTGTCCATTTGCTCGGCTCCAGATCTGTACCAGGCCTAGTAATGGTGCAGGACTCAAAGACAGCAACCTTGTCATCACAGATTCATGTGCCAAGGGGACGGGAGCCCCTCGTTAACACATCAGAACACTAGTGCCAAGATTGGGGGGCGGAGCGCTGCAGCCAGGGGCACATTCACAAAGAGCATGTCCAGGGACGCTTCCAGAGGTCACAGGTTAGAAGGTCTCTCTGAGGAGGACGCAGTGCATGTCAGACCAGTGATGAATTCATCCATACATGGGGGGCAGAGGGTGTACTGTCCGGGGCACTGGGTGCCTGCTGTTCAAGGGCCCTGTGAGTCCTGGGAGGCATTTGGGTCTCTTTCCAAACATAATAAGGAGCCCTTAGCAGAATTTCAGGAGAGTGAGGGACAATCTGAACTGCATTTTCAAAAACTGGACACAGACCTGTGGTAGGGACTGGACATTGATCTGGGGGTTGCCTGCTAAACACAGGACTTCGAGGGACCAGCGGGATGCAGACCTGGAGGGGCTGCTGAGGTCCAGGTGCTGAAGCTGGGAGGTGGACAGAGTGGGTTGGGCTGGGTCTTTGGGTCTATTGAGGACAGAGGAGGGAACTGCCCACTGAGGGTCCTAATCAAGAGACATGAGGGGCAGGTGCAGGATCCACAGGCCATGACAGGGAGCAGGATTTAGGTCAATATTGAGGAGTTACACTGGGTGACAATGGCAAAGGGTACGTGGAACACTGGGACTTGTGGTAAATAGACCCCATGGATGGCGTCAGGGCTTTACACAAGCAGCATAGAGAGCCCACAAACTCCCAGCTCCTTCGCCTTGTTCCCTCCCAGAGAGGCTGAGGGGACACAGGACTGGGATGCCCAGCTACTCACGTGGCTGCACATGGGTCAGCGGTCCACCAAGGGCCCTTGCAGTACTGAGACCTGCTCTCAGCTCCCTTCCCCACAGTGGGAGCCCTCCATGTGGTCTAGAAGGCTCCGCATCGTACTGGGAGGCTCAGTGTTCACAGCAGCAGCCCACCCATGCTCTGCCCTGCTAGCTGGTAACTTAGGCCCTTCTTTCTTTGTAAACAAGAGTCCTCCGGGTTTCATCTGGAACTGCATGGCTTGGCCTTGAGCCGGCCCTGCCCTGACCCAGACTGGGGGCTGGGTTAGGTTGTTTGCTCAACTACTGATGGCTGTAAGCCGGATAGTGGGAAAGATCTGTCCACCTTAGCACTATGCAATGACCTGAGATAGGGGCCCCTGGGGGGCCCGGTAGCTAGGGAGAGCCTGACGCTGGGTGTGTATGTGTTTTCTCCCCACTTTAGAGTGTCCAAAAGGCCCCAACATAGCTGCCATTGTGGGGGGAACTGTGGCAGGAGTCGTGCTGATCGGTGTCCTCCTGCTGGTCATCTGGAAAGCTCTGACCCACCTTAGTGACCTCAGGGAGTACAAGCGGTTTGAGAAGGAGAAGCTCAAGTCTCAGTGGAACAACGTGAGTGGTTGTCCCTGGGGGCCCTGGTCCCGCATGGGGAATCTCTCCATAGAGCCCTGTGTAACCTCCACACGTGGCTACCGCCTCCCCTCCCCCACCACCACCCTTAGAGCTCCTGGTGCAAGCCCTGCCAATGGGACCAGAACCAGTGGGAAGGGCACCCTACTCCTGCCTCCCCTGCACTCACAAGTCCAATTTGCTTTTCTTACCAGGATAACCCACTTTTCAAGAGTGCCACCACCACAGTCATGAACCCCAAGTTTGCCGAGAGTTAGGGGCACTTGGTGAAGACAAGGCCGTCTGAGCAGAGCAGACGGAATCACTCATGAACCATGTCTTCCGCATCAAGCCGACTGCAACCCCGCTCTGTGGACATGGCTGGCAATGCCTGACAACTTCCTCTATTAACCACAATTTTCTGGCTGAGAGCGACAGGGCAAGATGATTATGTGGACTCCTCAGGAGACACTGGTGCCCCTTCTGATATGTATCACCTTTTAATACAGATCCCTTGCAAAAGGGATCGCTGGGGTCTTATAGGCTTAGAGACATGTTTTCCTTGTATAAAAATGAGGGCGGCAGTCTGCTGAAAGGTGATAAAAAAGTATTTATATTTGCACTTATCAGGGTATAAAAATCACATCTGTTTATTATACTGTTCCCCCATCATGTGTATAGAAAACATTAATAAAACCTTCCTAGAGTCTCTCTAAGGGAGCTTGTTCTGCAGCTATGTCCTCCCTCCCCCATCCTGCTCTCAACACACTTAAGGGGTCCGTGACAACTCCAATCCCTGGCCCTCCCGGGGCTTGACTTTCTGGTCTCCTTCTTCATCTGTTGGCCATGCGTACAAGGCCTCTTTGGTCCCCGTCCCTGCCTCACACATAAGCAGCTTAAGCAGCTTTCAGAAGACATGGGGTAGCTCCACCAAAGGGGAGCCATGCAGAGTCTGGGCAGGGCAGAGCAAGCCCAGAAATGAGCATGCCTTCCCTCCTGGTTACACCTGCTCTCCCGGGGCGGGGGGGGGGGGGGTGGGGGTGGTGGTGAGGATTGGGGTGTGGGGAGCGAGTGAGTTTAAAGTGAGTGGTTTTCCCCTAGCCGTCTCATGCAAGGAACCTGGAAGTCATGGCTGACCCAGTGCCATCTGGCCAAGTGAATTTTCATTTTATTTGAGCCAAACTGACAACAGACCAGGAAGCAGTATCTCAAATGCTCTGGTGAAGGACAGTTTTTCGGTTCTTTTTATACATTTGGAGTTAAGGGGAAATGTAAAGAAGATTACCAGAAGGTGGGAGAAAGCCAGGTGGGGAAACCTCTGTGATTGGGTTTACAGGATAGTTAACAAGATCACGGGCTCCCTGGGATGGGGGGGGGCGGGGGGGATTGGGGGTGCTTAGCCTCTGAGGGGTCTGAAAAGAGAATTACTCTGGCGTTTCAACAGTTAACCCAGATGCACAAGGACAATGCACAGGCTGGCTTAAGGCACAGGTAACCTTTTACTAAAGAAGTTATATGCCTGGGGAGTGACTCCCCACCTTGATCATGAGTTAGAGATTTGCGATCAGTTCATCCTGTGAGGTTACTGTCCGTCACTAATTTCATGTGGAGCCCCTTTTCCCCTCATGGCGGCGGGGTGGGGGTGGTGTTTGGGGAAGGAATGGTGGTTTGTGGATAAACAGCCAGAGATCAGGATGCTTAAAGCAGGCTCCGGAGAACCAGGGAGTTGGCGATGAATGGCCAGCGAGTCCGTCAGGGAACAGGGGTCCCCTGGACAGACAGGGGATGTGTCTTCCAGGTGGGGTCGGGCGACTATTTGCTGAGTGGCCCACAGGACCAGCCTAGGAGGGACGAGGCAGTTAGTCCCTAGGGCCACCTTCCAGAGCTCCTTCACCATTTTAGAGTCAAAACCACGGCGCATCCCTCAGAACTGCGAAGGCTAATTAAAACGCAGCGACCCTGCTACAGCCTCCACAGTTCAACCGCGCAGGCGCACTGATCCACATCTGGGCCCCTCGCCGCTGCGGCCATTCAGCTGCTCAGGCGCACGGAGCCCCGCCCCCGTGGCGCGCAGAGGCTGGGAGCTAAATTCACGAGGGAGGGCCTTGAGGGCAAGGGGCGGGGCAAGTTGGTGCCCGCGGCTGCGCACTCGTCCTGGTGCCGCCCGCCCCGCCCACTTCCGGCGCCAGACACTGTTTCCAACACAGGCTACCAAGCTGACGGACCGATTAGCTAGGCCATAAGCACTATGGGGTTTGGCTGGATCTGCGGGCGGAGGATGCGCTGGGGGTTGCCTTTCGGCGGCGCCGCGCTGCTCCTGCTGCTCCTCCCGGCGGCCGTGGGGCAGAGTTCTCCCGGAGTGGGTGAGGACGGCGGAGGGGGCTCCAGTCCTGAGGTGGGAGGGGACGTGGGATTTGGGAGTTCGGCGCGGAGACCTAGGGGTTTTGGGGTCATAGCTACGCGGGTTCGCCGCCCCATCCCAGTCCCGGGCCGCGGTTTGCGGAGGTGGAAGACTGGGGCCACTCGAGTGTCCGGTCCCGCCGGTCTAACCGCTGCTGGAGCAACTGGATGTGGCAGGCCGTCCCTTTGTCTTGGTTCAGCTGCTGCTGCCGCCGCCCGGCACAGCTGTGCTAGGTGGTCCCAGTCCGAGGCCCACGCCTTTCCGCTAAGTCTGCAGGGTCGTCCCTTCTCAGCCACTGTCATCTCACTGAGCTTCACCACCACCGTTGATCCTGTCGGAAACAGCTCTTGGGTTTAGATTCGGAGTCGGGATTGCATTATTAGAACTGAAAAACCTGCTGGAGTTCCACAGCTGGTCGTGGCTGGTGTCCCGGTGCCAAATCACTGAAGGTTGGGAGGGCTGGGGCTGGTGCCGCGGGCAGAGCTCCACTGAGGAGGGTCACTCGGAGTTATTCGGGGCCTTAGGTTGAGGCAGGAATTCGCAGTGCCATAGCGTCTGCCACTTTGAAGCAAGCTGATTTCCCTTCTACATTCTGGAACAGGCCTACTACGCTCGCGGGCCTTCTGCATTGGTTCATCCCGCTTGTTATTAACCACCTCTGTGTGCCGGGTCGGGACCGCGCTGGTGACCCAGAGTTCCTCTCTATCCTTAAGAAGCTGAGTTTTGGGGAGACTGACCAAGAAACAAGTTAGAGTCCTGGGTGAGAGGGAGGGTAGGTGAGGGGAGCAATAGTGGAGGAAACTGCATGACTTGAGGGCCAAAGAGTTGCAGAAATGGGTATTGTACTGCTTGGAGGGTAGCCTCATGGGGGCTGAGTGAGGGGGGCGATAGCCCCAGGGCCTGCAACAAAATGAGGAAGGGTGTGAGCTGAGGCTAGTGTCTTATCTGTTTCAGAAATGTTTCAAGCTGGCTGCTCTGCTGTGTGTGGAGGTGACCCATGTGACCACGAATTGTGGGAAATAGAAGTCCCAGCTTGAGACAGAAGAGAGCAAATCCATACTCCTCTGCTTGTTAGTTTTGGGGCAGGCCTCTTAGTCTCTGTTTCAAGACCTTTACAAGTAGAATTGACCTGGCTCAGCTTGAGGGGCCAGAGTTTTTCTAACTCATGTTAGCTCAGGCTTTGTCAAAGTCTGTTTGGCACAGCAAACACCTTTTCTCTTTGTAACTGTGTTGCATGTTTATTCCAGTGCAGGACCCGTTTGAGTTTCTTATCAACTTCCTCATGTAATTCTCTGTGTGTTCTTGACATTTGTTACTGAAGCAGTCCAGTGCACTGCAGAGGGAACTTTTGGTCTAAGTTATGTTCTCAGCCCACATGGGGAATGGGACTTTTCAGCAAACAGAATGGATACTTGCCAAAAGAATCTGACTGTTCCAGAATCTCTCAGTGGCTGAAGTTGTGTCAGGAAATGCCCTGAAGTGCTCGGGAATGAAACTAGAAATGTCATTATAGAATTTTGAATAAAAAAAATAACTTCTTCTCTCGCCATATGACATGCACTTACTGTCAGCCCAGTGGGAAGCTGTTCTCATTTGCCTTAGCTCATAGTAAACCCACCTTTTGTTTCCTGGATATGCTCCAAGTCTTGAGTCGATGGGGGCGAGCTGTTGTTTTTCTCCCTAGCGACACCTTCAAACGGGAGGAAAGCTGTCCTGTTGTTCAGGTGTTTACTGCCCAGGTGCCCCTGGGGTCTGCACTCAAGTGGAGAGGGGGCAGTGTTAGGGCACTGAGCCCCCCCTTCCTGCGGAGTATTTAATTAGTGTGAGATTTTCACTGCTTGTCATACTGTAGGAATGTGAATACAGTATTTAAAACATTGTGTCTTCCTTGTAAGGATGTTAGTCAGTTCCCCAGAGAAGCAGAAGAGAATTATTATGAGGGATCGGCTCACATAATAATGGAGGCTGAGAAGTCCTATGGTATACAAGCTTCAGACCCAGGAAACCTGGGGTGTGGCTCTACAGAGGGCGGGAGAACCTGGGGCACTGGCAGTGTGAGGCCCAGGAGCCAGGAGCACTGATGTCTCAGGGCAGGGGAACAGAGAATTCCCAGCTTGAGCAACAAGAGAGCAAACTCCCACTCTTCTGCTTGTTAGTTTTGGGCCCATCAACAGACTGTGTGTGGGGTAGGTACCTGCTTTCCCCAGTGTACTGATTCAGATGCTAATCTCCTCTGAAACACCCTCACCAAGGACACCCAGAGGTAAGGTTTCACCAGCTTGTGAGTGTCCTTCAGTCCAATCAAGGTGATAAATAAAATTAACCCTCCCAGGTATGTGAATTTTAAGCAGATATCACACCCATCTCAACCAACAATTTCTACTATCTTTTTGTGTGCGTTGCTAGAAGGGAGATGTGAGGAACCCACCAGGCATCGAAGATCTTGAGAACGATTTCATTACATTGAAGAAATCTTCTTGTGTTCTAGGACCTCACTTGTATTGTGCATGAGGTCAGACTCCATCCCAGAGTTTCATCTGTACATTTGGGGTAGAAATGACCTCAGGCTGGTGTCCTCAATGGAGGCATCCAAAGGAGCTTAGTGGGGCCACTGGCCTGCTCCTGATAGTGGGAGCTGGATTTGCGGGGGTCTGCAGCCCTCCTCCCCGTTTCCCACAGAGAACTGGGGCCTTCTCAGCAGGGGATGGAAGGGTCCCCGTACGAGTGCACATGTGCACATGTCCGTGGTTTTATGTACAGTCTTCACTCCTTTCTGTGGCCGAGGAAGGCGGGTAGGGCTTTTTTTTTTTTTAATCCTCCCTTGAGGACATGTTTATTGATTTTAGAGAGGGGGAGGGAGAGAGAAAAACATGGATTGGTTGCCTTCTGCATGCGCCTGGACCAGGGACCCAACCTGCAACTTAGGAATGTGTCCTGAGTGGCAATTGAACCTGCAGCCTTTTGGTGGGTGGGACAACACTCAACGAACTGAGCTACCTGGCCAGGGTGACCAGGGCGACCAGGGCTTTTTTGTCTAAGTGAATTTTCCACCCTCATTTCTCACATGAAATGGACATTTCAGGCTCTGTCATGTGCAGCGTGGGCAAAGTGCTTGAATGGGGGGCTTGTTTCACTGCCTGGGGGTGCAGTAGCTGGAGCCCTTTGGCTTGTAACCAAGGGACTGTAAATAATATACTTAATTTGCTTTCTCATTTAAAAAGTAACATACCTCTTTGCACAAGCTAGTGTATGTCCCTTTTGTACTTCATCAGTTGACTCACCTGAAACTTTAGGAAAGAACTCAAAAGTGGGTCATGGGTTAGTGTATCCTACAGAAGAAACCTTTTTGGGGTTTTGTCTTTTAATTTCCAAAGTGAACGAGACATAAAGTTCTCTAATCGTTAATGCATAGAGTCTAAGTTGAAGATTTTCAGTCATCACATTTCAGAAGTCAGGACACTCACATTCAGCAGTACATTCAAGAAACAGAGCATTTTAAAAAAATTTTCTCTGGCTCTGAACACATGGTTTTCTGTGTCCCGAGGTGAGATGAGATGGCCGTGGTGCAGTGAGACGAGGTACAGTGAGTGACTCGTGCAGAAGGCGAGAAGATTGGGGTGTTTCAAGGGCAAGCAGAATGACGACCTTTCCCAGCTCTCAGCTTGTCTAACGTGGATGTTTCTGCCTGTGTTGCAGACCTGCCCTGTCCTGGGCTGTGCTGGGGGCTCAGGAAGAGGGCTGGGCAGTTTCCTTGGCCTTCCCCTCCCATGCTTCTTGGTTGACTCATACTGGCCGGTAATCAGAGGCTCTGGGGCTGGACAAAGTTTCTGGTATGTGGTTTGGAGCATAGTTCTTTTACTTCACTGTGCAAGACCAGTTATCACCAAGGCTTTAAAAATGAAAACTACTCTTCCGCATCACCCTCGCTCCCTGTTGCACCCTTTATTGTGGAAGTTCTCAAAAAGGACTGGAGAGTGGCCATGTTTGGCAGTGTTCAGGTTCCCGCTGAGCCTCCTCTGCCTAACTCTTTATTTAGAAAACTTTCAAAGCTGCAGAAGTCATTGTTGAAGAAATAACTAGAACAGTGAGCTTCTGAATCTCTTTCTGTTACACAGCATTTGCCACGTCTGCTTTGCCACTCCCTCTGTCTGCTCGCTTTGCTTTTAAACAGACTGTTTGAGAATAAGTTGTGGTGTGGCCTTTCACCACTGAATTCTTCAGGATGTGTCTCCTGAAAACAAGGACATTCTTTTACACAACAGGTATAAGGACCAAAATCTGAACAATTACTGGTGATGTGATACTTAAATGCTCGATGTAACATATGCATCCTTGTACATAGTTTACCAGTTATCCCAGTAATGTCTTAGGTTCCCCACCCTGCCCTCCATCCCCACCCAGGCTCACATGGTACATTTAGATATGTTTCTTAATCTCTCCCTTTGGAATCGCTTCTCAGTCAGTCCTCTGTTTTCAGAGAGTGGCTTTGTGGGAGGACCCTCGGTTTGGTTTCATGTGGTTTCCTTTGGTTCGGTCCCAATGCATTTCAGCAGGGATTCAGCTGCTCCAACTGTCCTCCCTCACCCTCTGGGGGGCACCTTTTGTTTCTTTGTCCTGTTATCATGTGGTCACAGATCGTACTGGTGATAACTTTGATCACTTTCCATGTGCTGTTTTCTCAAGATTAAGTGACGATTAAACTGGGGAGGTGCCACCAATGGGTACAGTGGTCTTGGTGTCCCTGTTTACTGTGATGGTCGCAAAGGGGAGATGCTTCCATCTTTGCTGGTTACTTGCTCTGTGTTTATTTACTTCATATCAGTGTGAAACCATAGCCTATTCAAGAGGTCAGAGGCCACTGCTGTCACTGGGATGTTTAAATTGTCCCAGTTTGACTTAAAGCAGTTTAAAAATAAGCTTCAGCATAAACTCAATAGCACACCACTACAGGTGCTGAAAAGACTACTATTTAATAATAATTGCTGCAAAATAATATGCAAAAGAATGGGTTTTCGTTTAAAAAAATAGGATTTTATTTGGAGAAATGCAATGTAGAAGAACCTGACAATTGAACAAAAGAACTATTTTAGAGTGAGTCCCACTTAGCAAATATTGTGAGTAGAAATTGTAACTGGAAGTTAAAGCTCTTTCCCCTACATTTTGTTATGAAAATCATACAGCAAAGTTGAAAGGGTAGTACAGTGAGCACTCATGTACCCAGCACTCAGCTTTTATCCTTCACATTTCACTGTGTTGCCTCTGTCCAGGTGTCTTCCCTGTGTTCCTCCGCAAAGGCATTTCCAGGTACAGTACAGATATCATGTACTTTCCCCGAGTGCTTCCTTATGCATCATTAACTAGAATTCAACATTAGTCTTTTTTTTTTTAAAGATTTTATTTATTTATTTTTGGAGAGAGGGGAAGGAAAAAGAGAGGAAGAGAAACGTCAGTTGGTTGCATCATGCACACGCCCCAACCAGGAACCAAACCCGTGACTCAGGCATGTGGCCTGACCAAGAATTGAACCTGCAACCTTTGCCTTTGTGGGACAGCACCCAACCAACTGAGCCACACCGGTTAGGGTAAAATTTATCTTTTCTTGAGATAAATTGCACATAGGTCAAGTGCAGATATAGTAAGCGTGCCATTGGATGAATTAAAAGATCTAACCTAAAAACAAAAGGCCTTTCAAAGTGAGGGGCAATGAGCATTTGTCTGAGGTCAATAAGAACAGTTATTCTGGATGCACTTACCCAGGTGGAAGCCCAAGTTGTGTTCCCGTTGGGAGACGGAAGCAATGGGTACGTGTAAGAAAGGGAAGGGAAACAATTACGTCAGTAGCAGGGAGGCATTGATGTTGGTGCAGACAACTTCATATAGTGACATTAATTCTCAGTAATGTTTTTAATTTCCAGTCCAGATGTCGTAATATCTGCGTGCTTTGCAGATACTTTTTTGAGACACAAGGTTGCTCAGGCCCAGTACACAGGTTATTCTCCTGTTTCAACATTCCTAAGATTTGGGAAGGAATATATGCAAAACAGTTCTCCTAGCATGGCAGCTCCGGCTCTGTTTTCAAGTGGCTTCATTTCGATCATTGTTCACAGATCCATCCATGTTTTATGTATACAGTGTCCTACTTTTTAATGGCAGAGTAGTGTTTCATTGTATGACTACCAGTTTGTCCATCCTTTTATACCTGGGCACCTGGGCTATTTTCAGCTTTTGTCATTTGTAAATAAAGTTGCTATGAACACTCCTGTATGTATGTCCTGTAGACGTATGTTCTAATTTTTCCTGAGTGAAATACCTGAGAGTGGAATTGTGGAGTCAGGGTAGGCAGATATATTTGTTTTATGGGGAAGTGCCAGGTCCATTTTTTCAAGTGGTGGAGCCACTTGGCACTCTCACCACAACTCATAGGAGAATCCCCATTTGCTCTGCAGCCTTGTCAGCATTTACTGTTGTCAGTCTTTTTAATTTTAGCCATATCAGTAGGTGTGAAGTGGTGTATTATCATGATTTTAAGTTGCAGTTCCTGGTGATTAGTGAGTTTGTGCAGAGCTCTTTTCAAAGTGTATGTTTGTTTTAAGGGATGGGGTGGGGTAAAGAGCAGCTGCCTAATTACATATTGGAAATGATTCACTCGTACATAGATTCTTGGTGTGGGGTTTGACCCCCTCCCTGGAGCAACAGTGTTGGGAGGGTCCCGGGCACTCTGTAGGACTGCAGCCAGCTTCTCCCGTATGTGCTGGGAGCTGGGGTGACTGGCCAGAGGGCCGAAGCTCTGGCCGTAGTCACGTGGGCCTGGCTTTGATGTGGCCTTTGCTTCTAAAGAGTGTCTGCTGCTGAGCTGGTGGCCTCGGCCAGCTAGTGGTCCGTGCTACCTGACCTTGTGGCTTATCTCCTGAGGGTGTGCTGAGCCACCTTTCCCCAGAAGATCTCCATGGGTGCAACCTGTGTGCTGTTTTTTGTACCTGCAGCGGGGCTCAGTAAGGCTCGGTGCCTGGAGAGGACCCATGCATCACTCACTAGTGCGCTCGTTGCCATCCTGGCTGATTCACATGATTCTCAGTGATTCAGTTCTTCTTTTCTCCACAGCTTGTTCCCAGAACACAAACAGGACCTGTCAAGAGTGCCTGAAAAATGTCTCTGTGAGTAGCATGTGACTGGAAGCAGGGCCCGTTTCTCTACGGGAGGGTCCTTGGTGTGTGTTCAGGGAAACATGGGGTGTTTCTGTGATGGATGTTAAATATTATTTTAGCCTTTCTCAGGTGTCTCAGGCTGTCCTGTGAAGGCTGCAGACACCACCTGAGCATCATTCATATGCATATTTAACTACTGAAATGGGTGTGGGTGTTTTAAAAGATGTGCACCAGGCCTGTAGTGGGGAGCATGTGTGGCCTGGTGGGGAAGCCTCGGGCCTCCCTGCGGTGGCGGATGGGCACTGGTGAACGAACGGTGCTGTTCAGAATGGGGGTTGCGGGGACAGAGGAGCAGGTGGGCAGGGTGCTGGGCCGAGGGGTCATAGTTACCCGTAATCAGTGACTGTTAACCTCTGACTAAAGCCCTGTGTTGGTGTCATTAGACCTTAGAGGCCTGTTGGGGACAGGGATTATGACTCCATCTTGCGATGGGCCCTGACTGTCCATAGCTCACTAATAACAAGGTAATCCTCGCAGCCAGGGTGTTTTGATGTTCCTATTTTAAGTCCCTTTGTGACCATGAATAAGAGGGTAGCTGCTCTGGAGCAGAGGCCACAGGCTCATGGGGGTCACCTCCAGGGAGACCACTGTCCTGGGATCTTACAGGTTTATGTGCTCAGGGTGCCACCAGGGAGAAGTAGAGAGTGACATGTGACACTGGGGAACTTCCCATTGTTTCTGGCTCGTCACAGGGCTTGTGGGAACAACACTACTTTGTTAGGGTCCTGTGGCTGCCCGTCAGGCATTGACTTTCTGGGCAGCTCCTGATCCAGAAGCCCCTTGGCTGCGAGTGTGTGGCCTCATTTCACCGCAGCACTGCGTGGTCAGCACTGAGGACTCAAGGGAAGCCGAACCAGGGTGGGGATGGCTGGGAGAGAAAACACCCTTTGTGGGGCCTTGGCCTGGGGCTCTGGAAGAGGCTGTCTCTCCCTTCTGGTCGGGTCTTTGCATGTATTGGAAATACACAGCCTGTGTTTCTCTTTCCCTGGCAGTGGGATTTAAAGACACAGGACGGGTCAGGAAAGATGTGTCAGATGATTTCTCCTCCAAGACGTGGGCCAGGCTTTTATAAAGCATCGGCACCCATGTGGCAGTGTTGTGGGTTTCCAACTCATCCTGTGGGTGATAGGACTTGCCCACCTCTGCCAAGTTAAACTTTCCAAGTTAAACTGGAAAGGACGACTTTCAGTCAAGATGGTGGCGCAGGTAAAGTTGGTGCTCGCCTCTTCTCACAACCACATCAAAATTATAACTAAAATGCAGAACATCCATCATTCAGAACCACTGGAAATCTAGCTGAATGGAAGTCCTACGACTGGGGAATGAAAGAAAAAGCCACATTGAGACCAGAAGGACAAATAGAGAAGTGGACCAGGCTGGCCCAACACCCACATGCAGTGGATAAAAATCAGGAGGGATATCCCTGAGATCATCCCTGAGGAGCGAAGGGTCCCAGCCCCACAAAGGCCCCCCAGCGCAGGGTTCCAGTGCCAGGAAGAGAAGTCCCCATAACTCTTGGCTGTAAAAATGGGTGGAGATTGAGGCCCAGTGAGACAGAGGGCTTCTGGAATCCCAGGAAGTTCCTCTTAAAGGACCTGTGTACGGACTTACTTGGACTCACTCCCTCTGAGCTCCGTTACAGGGGCAGCAGTTCCAAGTGCACGAGAGACCTATGGGAAGTCTGATATCAGGACAAGAACTTGAGGGGTACTGTGTTCTCCCAGACGGAAGCATTGGCAGAGGTTGTTGTTCCTTTCATGAGCCCTCCCCCACCCCAGAACCGGCAGGTTGGTGCCACATTTGAGATTCCATCTACCTGGTTCACACTGTTTGCCCCACTATGGTGATTCCCTGAGGCCTCCACCTCACCCAAATTTCAGGCCCACCCAAGCTGTTTCCAGACAAATGTGTCCCAAATGAAAAAACAGAACAAAATTTTAGAAAAAGAACTGAACAGAATGGAGACAAGCAATTTATCAGATGCAGAGTTCCAAACACTGGTTATAGGGATGCTCAGTGAACTTAGAGGAAGAGTAGAACTCAGAAATTCAACAAAAGATACAGGAAACAAAAGTGGAATAGAAACCATACAAAAGAACCAATCAGAAATGAAGAAGATGATAACTGAAATGAAGGATTCATCACAGGGAATCAACACTAGAATAGATGAAGCAGAGGATCAAGTCAGCAGTTTGGAAGATAAGGAAGTAGAAAACGCCCAGTGAGACCCCAAAAACGAGAATATTGTGAGGAGCTTGCGGGACAACTTCAAGCAAACCAACATTTGCATCATGGGGGTGCCGGAAGGAGAATAGAGAGAGCAAGAAATTGAAAACCTATTTGAGAAAATAGTGATGGAAACCTCCTTAATTTGGTGGAGGAAATAGACATACAAGTCCAGGAAGCACAGAGTCCCAAACATCCAAAGAAGCCACACCAGGACACATCATAATTAAAATGCCAAAGGTTAAAGGCAGAAGAGAAACTTAACAGCAGGAACAGAAGAGCAGTTACAAATCTACAGGGAAGTTCCCATAAGACTGTCAGCTGATTTCGTCTCAACAGAAATGTTGCAGGCCAGAAAGAAGTGGCAAGAAATATTCAAAGTAATTAAAAGCAGGAACCTACAGCCAAGATTCCTTTACTCAGCAAAATTGTCATCAGGAATCAAAGGACAGATAAAGAGCTTCGCAGATAAGAAAAAGCTGAAGGAGTTCATCACCACCGAACCAGTATTATATGAAATGTTAAAAGGGCTTCTTTAATAAAGAAGGGGAAAAAGGGTCATATGGACAACAAAATGGCAGTAAATACAATTTCTATCAAAAGTTGAATCTGAAAACCAAGATTGAACAAGCAGGACAGACTCATACCTACAACGTTTTGATGCTGCCAGACGGGAGGGTGTTGGAGGGGTGGGCAAAAAAGGTGGCGGTTGAAAAGTACAAACTGGTTGTTACAGGATAGTTACGGGTATGTGCAGTACAGTACAGGGAAGTAGTCAATGTTTTCACAAGTATGTGTGGCGTCAGATGGGTGCGAGATTATCAGATGGTCACTTAGTTCTGTAATGTCTGGTCACTGCAGTGTATGACTGAAAGGAACATAATTATGTATGTCAACTGTAAGAGAAAAGTAAAATTATTGGAAAAAAAATAATAAACTGGAAAGGAGCTTGTCCTGCGGCTTCAGGTCTTAGTATTGACAACACCAAACTGGATAGGGCGGCTCTTGTCCTTGGGGTGGCATTTTCTTGGTGGTGCCTTTTTTTCAGCATCTAGGGTTTTTCTGTTGGAAGTCATTTCAGCCATAAAAATGGCTCAGGGTCTGCTGGCTTTGCATTTCCCAGAGTATCTTTGTAGGGGTGTCCTGTGTAACCCTCGCCTCTCTGGGCAGGAGGCTGGGGAGGTGCAGGTCACAGTGGGAAGGCACTTCAGCTGAAGTCCTACCCCCACTGCGCACCCGGGCAGATCAGCGCTGCGGGCAGATCAGCGCTGCGGCGTGCACGTGGGCGTGTGGGTGAAAGCAGGGGCGGCCCTCGAGTCTGGGAGTGCACAGTTTCTGAAAGCATGTGCAGTGCCTGGGAGGCCTGGCAGGAGCCTGCGCAGGGTCGAAGCGGGGCTGAGGGCACCCTGTGTGCTGTTGGGGTCGCTCGCGTTGTTCGCCATGGCATACTCTCATAATCTAAACCGGAACAACCACCACAGCTCCTTATGGCTCTCGGGAAAACCCTCATGTAAAAATGGAAGATTAGACATTTATAGCTTAAACTATTTGAAAATGGAAGATTTACCAAAAATTGTTAAGCCAGAACAAAACACTAAAATGCAAGATGTTCTCAAACCCTTTATCCAAAATAAAAAGGCTTTTCCTGCTGTTTATTAAGTATGCTCAACCCTTTTAAACAGCGCACTAAAGTCGGTGTTATGTCAAGGGGCCTGGGGAAGCCCAGGCTTCGTTTTCATATTTTTTTAATAGTTGTTCACCCCAACCCGAGACAAAAAAAAAAAAGTACCATGACTTTCTATCCTATTAAAAACTCAAAGGAAAAAAAAAAAGTCCATAAAACTATTACCTTTAAGATCTAAAATAAGCCAGGTCACGCTTCCCTTGTTGCTGGTGGCCACGGGAACTTCACACTGGGATGAAGGCACCGCCCCCGCCCCAGACGCCTCTCCCCTGACACTGTTGGGGATTCAGGAGCTTCTGTGAGGTTCCAGCTCTGAGGATCTGGCAGGCCCCTTTGAGCCTCGGTTGCACCCTCCTTCAGGGGGCTGGAGGTAGTTCTCACTTGCTGCACTTGTAGAGAGAGGTCCGAGGTGGGGTCTTGCACAGTGGTGGTCGTGGTCACAGAGGATCACTAACAAATAACTTAATGGGCTCCTGCAGATGGGCCAATCGGCAGCCTGAATGTATCAGGAGGCGATGCCACAGCAGGGAAGGAGGTGAGGGGAGAGGCGGGGGATGTTTTAAGTAGGTTGCTCAGGGTAGGCCTCAGGAGGAGGTGAGGGGGATACGTGTGTCTTGGGAGGGATGTTTCAGGCAGGAGCAGGCCATGCAAGGGCCCTGGGCAGAGAGCTGCCTGGCATCTTTCAGGACCAACACAGAGGCCGTGTGGCCATTCACGGTGCCTGATGGGAGAGATTTCAGTAACATGGTTCTTGGTGAGCAGTTGAGCCGCTATGTTGGGGTGGGGGCCAAGGCCATTATCATTCCCAAGGGTGAGCGGATGGGGGTGGTTGATGGTTTAGGAGATCGAGTCCTGGGCAGTCTTGTTCTTTGGTGTTTGTGTTGAATTTCTAACATCTGATGTTTCTCTCTCAGTGCCTTTGGTGCAACACTGATAACACGTGCCTGGACTACCCAGTGACAAAAATCTTGCCACCTGCTTCTCTGTGTAAGCTGAGCTCTGCACGCTGGGGCGTGTGCTGGGGTAAGTGGTCACTTCATTGGCTTTGTGCAAAATCAGTGCAGGTTTGAAAACTCTGGTCTTGCTCATAACATAAGCTGCCAGAAAACAAAGCCCAGCAGTTCTTGATGCTCCGGGCAGGGAACTGGGGAGCCAGCGAGAGCTCGTGGTGTCTCACAAAGCAGCAGTGGGGTCTGTGGGGATCTGGAGGCTTGTGGACCTTCAGGCTGCAGCCTTGGCCCCGAGCTGGGTCTCCACACCTTGGTGGGTGGTGAAGTTAGAACTGTGGTTTGGATGCTTATGTAGGTGGTGTCGTGTGCTACCTTGACACCTGCGGTTCCTGTGGGGACCCCGACTCGCCAGCAAGGAAGACCCTGCTCAGCATGGGCACGGCCTTACCTTTTCTCGTGCTTTCCTTTGTCTGTGTATAGTTGTTACAGGTGTTCTTTCATCGGAAATTAGCCCTTGCGAGACTGAAATTGTTTCCTAGTTTGCCTTTCAAGTTAGTTTGTGGTGTGTGTTGCTGTATGGAACTCATTTTTAATGTAGTTAGTCGGGTTTATTAATCCTTTCTTTCATGGCTTCAGATTTGGGGTCATGCAGGGCCGCCTTTGAAACCTGCATGAAGGAGCCATTGTTTCCTTAGGGCACTTTGGTGCTTCACTGTGTCTGCAGCTTATTCCTCGTTTATCTGTCTGTTTTCTAACTGATTCTGTCTTAGAATCCATCGGCCTCCATTGGAAATAAATACTCGTGGTGTCGAGGCCCCGGGGAATCCAGAATTGTGTGCGTGTGTATGTGCGTGAGTGGTTGCAGGGTGCCTACTGTGGGAGCGTGCACATGTGTGTGCCCGTGCCCATGTGCACAGCTGCCGTTCTCTCTGCTGTCCTCGTACCAGAAAGGCTTACTGGGCCTCACTGCCCTCTGCTTCCGTATTGGTGGCTGTCTCCTGCGTGGACCCTGTTCTTGCCCATTGTGTCACAAAGCCCGCTCCTGGACCAGAGGACCATGGGCGTGTTGAACATGAGCTGTTTAGCTGAAGGTTCACTTCTCACCGGGTGTAAACATGTTAAGTCTCCCTCTCCCTCTGTGTACCACAGTCGGCAACAGAAACACACATGTATACACACACACACACACATCTATTCAGAGGACTTTTACCTAAGCACACAGGCGTCCCCCCTCAGGAGAACACTCGGACCATTTCCAGCACCCACAGTGGTGCTGTCCAGACCCCGAGGGTGACTGCGTGATTGACTTGCCATCAGCATAGGTCAGCGCCGCCTGTCCCTGCCCGTTGGGTGAAGGAAAGCCTGTCCTGCCCTCTCTGCCCTCAGTCAGCAGTGCGTGCATCGTGCCTATGTGTGCCTGCTTGTCTGTGACCGGGCAGCGTTCACGAGTGTTCCCCATTCTGCTACTGAGGGACGTTTAGGCTACGTCTGCAGTGCTGCTGTGGGCGGCCTCGTGTTGGAGGGGCCAGTGCTCCCCGCACAGGGCATTTATGTGGACTTGCTGCCTCACTGCCTGCTCTGTGTTTGGCCATAGTAGGTCTGCAAGTATCTTGCAGAGCAGCGTACCAGCTCATGCTCCTCTAAACAGTGGGACTTGCGGTTGTTCCACGCCCCTGCCAGCAGTTGGGCACTCAGTCATCTTCCTTGTAGACCCTCTGGTGGGTGTGAGCAGCGCCTCACTGTGGTTTCAATGTGCATTTCTCTGAAGGATGTTGAGCTCCTTTCCAGGTGGTGTGCAGTTCTGATAATTCTCTTGTGAAATGGAAGCCCCTTTCTAGGGCCTGCAAGGGATGGTCAGACACGACACCTGGCACCGGACAGACGAGATCCACAGCAGTTTACTCACCCCCTGCAGTCACAGCCCTGGGGGAGGGAGGGGACCTGGGGATGAGCTAGAGGCTGTGGGAGGAGGCTTTGCAGTAACAAGAGGGTGTGGTGCCCAGTCCCACCGAAGATGTGAAGCTTGAGCAGTTGTGAGGGCGGACAGGGAAATGGCACCTGCCACTCAGGTGTGGGTGGAACTGCACCTGGTTCCCATAGTAAGTACGGTTGTCTGGCCAGGGGCCTAACCTGTGGGAGTGGGCCTGCAGGGCGACTCGTGTCTGGGGTACTCGAGGTCCCCCTGGTTTCACCAGCTGTCAGAGCATGCTTAACACTGATGCTGGGCCTCACCACAGTGCTTTTAAGTCTCACAGTTTAGAATCCTCTCGTCCAGTTGAGGCAGAATTGTTTTGGGACTTTAATTGTAATGACCTTAGAAATCTATGTTTGCTTGGAGAAAAATACGGTCTTTGTCAATTTGAACCTTTGTTCAGAAGCAACGGTCCCTCCTCCAGGTCATCCCTTACTCCTTTAGTGGAGTGTCATTTGCCACGCATGGCTAACAGGGAAGGGAGCCCAGAGTTTTGCAACTTTAGAGCCAGCCATCTTACTGATCTCGTTGGTTTTTAAGGTTGATTATTACAGAGTTCTTGAGTCAAAAATGACACCGTCTGCTAGTGAGGATCTCCTTTCTAATGATACCTATTACTGCTATTTCCTGCGGCTCTAGTGCTTCCAGAGCAGGTCAGAGAAGGAAAAAGCATGTGCTTAGAGCTCAGAAGAATTTGGTCAGATGTCACGCCTATCCCTGATTATAAAACGATCGAGTAAGCCGTGTGCTGGCAGCCAGTCTGAATGTGTCACAGGTCCACACAGGCATGTGGCAGGGGGTTTGAGGGGCACACAGCGCTCGCCTCTCTGTCCCCGAGGCAGACACGCACCTTCCAAGCCTGACCCCAATCACAACCAGGAAACCAGTGAGGTTAGAGATCATCTGCTCTGTGTGGTGGGTAATTGCACCTCATTTTCAGGAAACAAATGGCGCTGCTCTGGGGTGCGCACAGCATGGAACCCGCTGTGGGCCAAGCGGCTGTTCAGGCCTCTTCAGTGGCTGTTTTAACCAGATGATTCAAAAGCACATTCACGAAAGAAGTACTGATATTAGAGTTCAGATGGAATACAAAAATAGAAAAATAGTTTTACTTATAAATCCTTAAGAGAAGGTAAAAGATGGTAAGGTAAAACTTGTCTGAAGTTTGTCTTTGTCTCAGAAGTTTTGCCTGGACAGAAAGTTACAAACTCCTTTGACGCTGTTGAGGCAGCTGCTTCCAAACCCCTGGGGAAGACCACCTGTCCTTCTGCTTGCTATGGTCAGAAGTTAGTGTCTGTGAGAAGTAAATGTAATGCTCTCGACTTTGACTTGCATAATCAAATAAGCCGCATCAGGCTTAAATTTTGTTTCTGTGAATTCCACGACATCAGGACTTAAAATGTTTTAGGAGAGTCCAAATACACAACTGCATGTTCTCTTTCTGGTTTCGTTAATCTTCCTTGGGCCTGAAACCTCTTTTCAGTGTCTGGTGGTGGGAAAGCTACCCCGGAGTCTGGGCTCATTGGTTAGTGGAGGGTTGTTAGATGGTGCAGCGTGGGCGGGGGCTCGCTCTGTCGCAGCTCCCTGCACGGGAGGGTGGGCTGTTTCCCCCTCGGAGTTTCCTGCGCTGACTCAGCCCCTTTGCACTGGCAGTGAATTTTGAGGCGTTGATTATCGCCATGTCGGTGATTGGGGGCCTCGTCCTCCTGGCGGTCGCCGTGTGCTGCTGCTACTGCTGCTGTGGGAAGAAGAGGAGCCGGAAGCCAGACAAGAGCGAGGAGAAGGCCATGAGGGAGCAAGAAGAGAGGAGGATCCGGCAGGAGGAAAGGTGAGGCCGCAGACTCACTCCTGCTGGGGAGAAGTTCCCTCCGTGGGGACTCAGATCGGGAGAGTGACATTGATAAGTCGCGGGTCTTCTCCATCTTTTAAACTGTGAGTGTGCGAGTGCCCGTGAGGTTTTCTAGGTTGCATTATAAAGGGTGAGAAGCTCTGTATGTGGGGACCAAGCCGGGGGCCACGGCCCTTCTTGTCGCAGGCCTGCCGCTTCCTTATCTGTTTCCTACAGTCCATGACTTCAGGGTAGCTGGGTGGCCGAACCCTCCTGCTTATGTCTTGGCGGTGGGTTCTCAATGTTGCAGGGCAGGAGTCTTTGAAGATAGTTTGTCCAGCCTTTGTTTATGAGCAAACCAAGGCTCAGAGAGGCAGGAAAGCGTTGGACTGGATCTCTTGTCTGCCTGCGGCCGAACTGGGTCTTGTGCCACCAGTGCTCATGAGCAGTGCTTTCCTGGTTGTGAAGCATTTTGGTGGGTCTGTGATGCATGCCATTATAGGATGGCCCTTGGTCACTGTCTCTACCTAAGAAGGACACGGTTGTGGCTTGGGGAGGCACTGACTTGTCAGATGGCAGCTGGTGTGGCCTAAGTCTGGACAGGTTTCCAGGTCATCACCTTGAAGTCACATGTCCCAGATAAAAACTAGCGTTGGCGTGTTGGGAGCCATCTTCAGAAACTAGCATGAGGTTTTAACCAATCACTGCATTTTTTTTACATGAGAAAAGAATGTAAAAAAAAGACTTGGACATTTGAACTGCATTTGTGGAAAGGAAGGACTGAATGACACATCACAAGCAGCCACAGGAGGCTGTGCCCCATCCATCACCTGGCCTGTCCCAGTGGGAGTGTCACCTGGTGGCCGGGCCCCCCCCCCCCACGCTGCTCATTCCAGGAGACAAGAACAAACCACAGCTTGTCCACCGAGGGAAATGAAAGGTGCTTCTTTTAAAATTACAGCATATTTCAGTGCTGAACAAGGGTTTTTTTTCTTGTTTTTTAGGAGAGCAGAGATGAAGTCAAGGCACGATGAAATCAGGAAAAAATATGGTAAGAATCGACTGAATCTCTATTTCAGTTGGTGAGCAATTGCCTCTAAGACATCTTGGTCATTGTTGGTGTCCCATGGGGTGTAACTGTAGGACTCGGGCTGTGGGCTCTCTGTGGGGACAGGAAGACATCTCACCCTGGCTGACCAGTTCAATCGGTCAGCTCATCGTCCTAATACACCAAGGCCGTGGTTTCGGTCCCCGGTAATGAACGTGTAAATCAGTGGGACGGCAGATCGGTGTTTCCCTCCGTCCCTCTTTCTTCCTCTATCTCAAATCAAGAAATAAAAATGAAAAGAAAGAAAGAGGTGTCTCTACTGGGAGAAGGTTATTCCAAGTGGTGCTGTTATGAACTAATTGCACTCAATGTCTTAAAAGATGGAGACTTGGAATACTTTTATCCCAAGCAAACTTCTCCACCGGTACTTGTTGCTCGTGAAGTGCGGGCTGTCTCAGTGGTCTGCTGTCACCTCTTTCCCGTTCTCTGTCACAGGGGGTGAGCCTGCAGATCTGCACGGGGTGGGTCTGGTCTCCTCCGTGTATTCCCCCCACCCCGGGTTCACCCCAACTTCTGCAGTTTGAGCTGCACTCCTTCTTTAAAGAGTCAGCCAAAACTGAGGCCGTGCGATCCTCTTTCCTGGGTGCTTTGTTCTCGTTTGGTTTTGTTTGGAAATATTTTGGGGGAAGGGTCTGGGACTTTTCTTTTCAGTGTTTGAGGACATTAGGTCTGCTCCTGACCTGTTCGGGTGGTTCACATCCCTGGACAGCAGAGCATTAATGCCCCTGCTCCCTGATTGCCCAGCATTGTTGGAGCTGATGGGCATGGACTTGCCTGGCCTGTCCTGAGGCAAGGCCCTCCCCAATGACAGCTGTGGGGCCTCAAGACCTGAGCCACTGTACCTCCCTTGACCTTGTGACCTGGGGATCCTGTGAAGTGGACTGGGTATCTGTGCTAAGTCCTGAATCTGATCAGGAACATTTCAAAATCTCCGATTGCCCTGACCAGTGTGGCTCAGTTGGAGTGTCGTCCCATAACTGAGACATTGTGGGTTTGATTCCCGGTCAGGGCACATACCCAGACTGTGGGTTTAATCCCCGGTCCAGGAGCCTATGATCCTTGGTCCGGGCGCATAGAGGAGGCAAGCAATTGGTGTCTCTCCCTCTCCTATACTGTCTCCCCTCCTCTCTCCCTTCTCTCTCTAAAAGCAATGAAAAAAAGGTCCCTTCTCTGACTAAAGTCCTCAGTGTGTATAAGGAAACACTGATTCAGTGGTACTTTAGGGTCCTACTCACGAAAGTAGTAAATCCTGAAGGCTCAGTTCCCTAGCGGGGCTGCTGGTGCTCCGGGGTGTGCACGCTGGTTCAGGTGGCCCACTGGCCGGACGTCCTTCTCCATGCCAGACGTCCTTTGCATTGTGTGGCCTCTCCTGAAGGACACAAGTGGGTGCTGTGTACCCTGGCTCGGTGTCAGGCTGGGGTTGACCCTAGTGGCCTCCAAGTATTGGCTCTGGAGGCCACTGCCGCACCTCATGCTGCTGGGTCACCTCTGATCGAGACAAGCTGTCCGACGGCTGGTAGAGCCTTTTCTTGTTTCCCACCCTGTGGCCTCCTGGGTGCTGCTCCACAGGCCTTCAGAGTCCTGTGAGGTCAGGGTCACCACTCTCTCTTGGCCCCCCAGCCTACATGCTCTCCCTGCCCACAGCATGGACCCCAAGTTGGGCCTTGTCCCGCCCGACGCAGGCAGTGACGGGCTCCTGTGTGGGCGCACTTCCTTTGTCCCGTGGCTTCAGTGTGTTTGCCCACTCCCCCAGTTCCTTTGCACAGGTGCTCCCCTTTGCCCACAGAGTGGTGGTGTACACTCCCGTGGCTGGGGCAGTGGTTTTCCACAAAAGTTAGAGACCTTGAAAGGAGCTTTTGGGCATCTGATTAACACTAACGTAAATAAAAGACAAGGTGAGTGTGAGCACACGCATACAGCAAAGCACTTTCTGTGGCCAAGCACAGTAGCGTGTGAAACCTGGCACTTTGTGGTGCTCCGGCTCTTGGTGTGGCAGGCCCTGGTGGGTCTGGGACCAGGGTTCCGGGCTGTCACTGGAGGTGCCACTTCCTGTAACAGTGCACTGAGCTGCTCTGTCTCTGCTGTTTCCGTGGTAAGTGTAGCCTTTAATTGTGCTGATGAAGTCAACGCGTGTGCCAGTTTGTATGAAGTCCTTCGAATGTCCTGGGCTTTGGAAAGCCTCCTACCCGGACAAAGGCCCGGGGCTCCCAGTGGTGAGGGGAGGCGGCACGCGAGTGCACTCCGTTCAGTCAGCGTGCAGAGCACCAGGGCAGGCAAAACCCTGGTTTGGTTTTAGAAAGCATTTGGTTTCCAGGTCACAGAGCAGTTTTCCTCTGTTTACCCTCTGAACTAGAACCCGGCTGCAGCTGTTTCCTTTCTGCAACACGTGCGCAGCTAGGCCGCTTGTACTTGGCATTTAGTGCATGGTAGTTCTTGACCGAATCTGCACACTGCCTACGCAAGGCCCAGGGCTCCTGTCCTCCTCTGACACCTGCACCCTTGTTGCAGCCCCTGCCTCTTCTGCTACCCACCCCCCACCCTCGTTCTTGTCTGTGCCCCTCCCTAAAAGACCCTGTAGCAAGCAAGCATGTGGCTGTGGCTCTGGGTACTTTTGGTGTGTAGTGCAGGTTGTTAACAGGGGTTCCACGTGCAAAGAGAAAACTCCTAGTCTGGGTATTTAGCACTCTGGATTTATTTTTATGTTAAATATACATTTTGCTACAATTATGTCATAATGCTTGACAGCTAAATGAATGGTGGCCTTATTTTTTTGTAGCCTTAATATTAAAAGGTAATCAACATTAAAAGGACATTTAAAGTAAGGAGTTCTTTTTTTCCTTTTTCTTCTGTATAAGATTAGTCAACCACTTTGGGAATACTGGCTTTAAATTTCTTAACTTTGAGAGAATCAACAAATAAGTCTGTATTTTGGGGGATCCATTTTTCTTACAATTACTGTTTTGGGTACATTTATTTCACTTTTAAAGCCACTGTGCTGTAACCTTTAGAAAAGGTTTAGTGCAGTATCCGAGTCTGCATAGGCCCCCGTTTTCCTGTTGGCCTTGGGAAATCTTCACGTAAGATGTGATTGTACTGCTTTTGAGTTTTGTTCCCTGTTGGCTGGGTGTAATGGAGGCTGTTTTGTTTCCAGGTTTGTTTAAAGAAGAAAACCCATATGCCAGATTTGAAAACAACTAGAAAACACTTCCTGCCGTGTCCAGCAGTCCCAAAGCCACTCCTGGGGACAGCCCTCTGCCGACCCAGCTGCCTCCTGACCTTGACGAAGCGAGCATGGCACAGCCGCCCTGAAGGTGGCCTTGTTTTTGTCCTGTGAGCTTCTGTGCCCTTTTCTATTTCTGTATTTAGTCACTCGAGAGCCTGTGAAGGCAGGAGATTGCTTTTGTTCTTATTGTTACTCTGAGGAGGAATCGTGCACATTTCACTTCTTGGTTTGCAAGCTGATTGCAGACTGACAGCCCACAACACTAACGCCACCTCCTGCTGCGGCGGGCCTTCTTCCCTCCCCCCCACTGACAAGCCTTACACAGCAATCAGGGAAAGAAGTTGTCTTTACTTGTGGTGTGTGGGGCAGGGGGGTCGTCCAGTCCCTCGTCATTTTCCCCTAACGCCACAGGGGTGGGTGGGCCAGCTCCCACACGTCAGTTCTGCTGCTTTCTGCATCAGCCCTGCACTGTGGTAGTGACCCTACTTCCTGACTGCAGTTGCGATGAAAAGCATTTAGGACTAAACTCACTTGAAATCTTTTTAAAAATCATTTCTGGATTTTTATTCCCCATCTGAAAAGATTTCACGGTCAATGTTCAGACCACTTACTGTATGATTTTTACATTTGTATCTTTACTAGAACACGAAGATTGTTATCTAATGAAAGCCTGAATTGTAAGTGGAGTTTTGAGACAACCTTCCTAAGCACACAGCTCGGGAGTTGCGTGCTGGTGCACGAACTGCCCTGCTCATTCTCCCGACAGCCTCCTGACAGCAGTGTAGGTCCCGTGTACAGTCACGTGTCCTGCGAGGAGCCCTCACAGGGTCTCTGAGACTCTTTCTGCTGTCGGACTGTGTGCCCGCCCGGAGGAGGAAGGCACATGCCCTGGGCAGCTCCTCTGTGGGGCTCTGCAGTGGGAAGTGGGGTGTCCATGGCCAGCCAAGGGAATCTCCACACACTACACAGAGACACTGGTGACTGTCTTGCTTATAGGATGGCTCCGGCTCTGAGCCACACTCCTTTGGCTCGGATGTGTCATGAGACTTTGCTTTATAAGTATCTCCTCATAAAGTCATTGGCGGCCTCCAGGTGCCCTCTGGCACCATGTATGATGGCTCCATTTCTTTCAGAGCAAGAGACGTGGCTTCACTAATAGATTGAGCGCATGGCAGGGATGGCAGCAGACAATGAAGTGACAGTGGGAGCAGCCTTTCTTAAATCCGAACATACTCCCTGGTGCCGGATGGCTTTGAACTAGAAAAACATTTAGCTTGGGGAAAGTAGGCCAACAGGCACATAAAAGAGGCCACGTGTTCGGTATTCACACTCCTGCTGCTCTCTTACTGTCAGATAAAGTTCCGGTGTAGATGAGGGCGGCCAAAGCAGCGCTCCAGGTCTTCACTGAGGAGAGCCACGCTAGGAATAACATTTCCACAAAACTGGGAGACTGACCCAAACAGTCTATAGTCTTTATTTCTCTGACTTCTTGGGCATTTCACAGCAGTTAAAGTATTACTAAACATTCCTTAGTATTTTAAAGCAGCCTTAAAACTTTGACTTAAAATTCATAGAAGAAACTTTGTAATCCACGTTATCAAACTTTGTATTTAACACAGTAGCTAGTACATACGTAAAATCAGCTAGTGTAGGTTGCTGAGCAGAAAGCGGAGGTGGAGATCATTAAACACAGTGACTCACCTTTCACGAGACACAGAGCCCTCACCAGGCTGTCCGGAAGGCCATCCCGGTCCACATGCTTTCCTCTGAAATAGTACTGAAAGCAGCCGGAAATTATAACCCCGAGAAACCATAAAGTTTGGAGTGCCTTACTTTGTAACCACTTTCTGGTAAGTGATTGAATACATGCTTTTGCTGAATACACTCCGTGTTCCTTGTGCCTCATTTCTCGGTGGTATCACGTCAGTTTGATTGTAGATGCCCCTCGACCGACAGTGGGGATACATCCCGGTAGACTCAGTCTTGGTTGAGAGTGTAAGTCAAAACTGCATGTCACACACTATCCTGCAGAGCATTAGAATCAGCCAGGCCACCTTCACTGTGCTCAGCAGCTGGGCAGAACGGCCTGACAGCGAGGACAGGTGCCGTGTGTATAGTGGTTGCTGACCCCCTGGTCACGCAGCTGATGGGCAGCTGCGGCTCACCTGCTGCCTGGCACCATGAGAGGGTCACACTGCAGATACTAGCCCAGGAAAAGGCCAGAATTCCAGATTTCTGCTGAATTTGTATTGCTTTTGCATCATCATAAAGTGGAAAAATTACAAGTCAGCCATCATAAGCTGGGGGCTGGCTTGGAGCTTGGAGCTGTACTTGGAGACGTAGGGCAGTTAGACTTTCTGGATGAAGGCAGACTTCTGGACCCTTCACGAGGTGTGCGGCACTCTCAGCTTTAATACGGTTGGCAGGGAACAGCCATCTCGTGCCCTTGCCCTCAGCCCAGTCAGTGCAGCGCTGCCCAGCCAGGCCTCCCTTCCGTGGACCCCAGGAGAAAGCAGTCCTGCCTGTGAGCTTTGGTCAACAGGCACCCACCCTCCATCCCTCTTCTGCGGGCCTGGTTTGTGGGGAGTAGCCCCCCCCACTCGAGTCTCTGCTGAGCTGTTTTTACCATCATGTCATCACTGGGACTCGGGGACTTCTGTGTGCTCAGTTAGTGGCTGGAGATACTCCTCAGTCCCCACGGGGAAGTGTGAGTCCCACTGGGCCCAGCTGCACTCCACCCACATCCAGGTGAAAGTACACACGGACAAGCCAACTCCGGCTTCTTCATCCTGGAGTGGCGGGAGCTCACAGGCCTACATCTAGAAGGTGGGAGGCCGGAGGTTGTGTCTCCACCCCGAGGAGTGGTCACAGGGTGGCCTTGGGCTTGGCGAGTCCTTAGTCTCCAGTCCACATGGGAAGCTCACATTAGCCTTGGACTCATTGAAGAAGTCGGATGATGAGACCTCTGCTTGGAAAGGTAAAAAACATGAAAAGTCACGGGAGTAGTGGCCAAGTCCTCACCAACTGGTCCTCAGAGTCCTCCCAGAGCTGGTCCGCGTCCCAGGGCTCCATCCTACTTGTGCATCCGAGCGCCTGGCCGCCACCGCCCGAATGGCCTTGCAGCTCCTGCTCCTGCCCTGTCCCCTCTGGGGGGCGCCCTAATTCCCAGTCCAAGGCCATTTGCACTGCTTTGGCATGAAATGTGTGTGAACTGCGAGCAGGGTCAGATCATAGAAGTAGAATTCTGGATGGAAGTGTCCATGGTGCTTATTTAAAATGGTAGAATGTGCCGCATTACCCCTCACTTGAAGGGGTCTGTGACACTTTGCAAGATGGATGGTGGTAAGCATCCCAAACCAGAACCTCACCTGGAAGTCAGTTCTCTGAGTAGATGGAAGCGCTGGCCCTGTGCCTGTGCGTGTGTGTGTTTGGTACAGGCAGATGCTGGCCGAGGGCATCACTGTCAAGAGCACTAGGACTGCAGCTGCCGAGAGGAGCAGGCCTGGCCGGATGTGACAGGTGGGAAGAGCAGTTGCAGCTGACCGGGGAGACCAGACCGACGGTGACTCCACCCCATCTTGTCAGCACTTCAGCAAGTTGGTGACTGTCACAGTTTCTAAGGAACGAGACCAGGAGGGAGGCAGGACGAGCCCTGGACTGGCCACTGTGGGTCCCCAATCTCTTTCCTATCCTTCCTTCTAGACCCCTTTCCACAGCGCCTCTGCTGGTCCGGCCGCCCCTGGCAGTGCTGTTGTACAAGTCCCAGGCCCTGGGGACAATGCCCTGGTCAGGCAGTGGCTGGTTCAGTTGCCATTCTCTGCTTTGCCAGGAGGCACAGCAGATGGCCCGTGAGTCCCCAGAGCTCCCGACAGACTTGCTGTGGCCTGGTACTCAGCATAAACCTGTGTACTGCAGGCTCAGTGTTGCCACTGCCGAGCTTTCTCTGCTACTTGTCTGCTTCAAGGAGCTGAGGGGACCTGCAGCAGCCACCTCTTTAGGAAATGGAGGCCTGACTCTGTTCTCTGGTACAGGTGTCCAGCCAAGCCTGTAGGACAGGAGGCACCAAGTAAGCTGCGGGGAGGGGCTAGTGGGCAGTTACCGCCTGTTCCCTGTCCCACGCATTCTTCTGGGGGGACACAATCCCCCAAACAGCCTTTGTGAATGAAAGGCTCCATACATTGTTGAGGGAAGAAGAGGCTCATGAGCCACCTGGACTTGATAACCCTTGGCTGCTGAGTTGGACAGACTGCGACATTCTGGTGACTTAGCCCTGGGATGTTTGCCAGTGGGAGGCAGCTGTCCTCCCCATGGTCTTGTGGCTGGGTGTCCCCTGAGCTGCCCAAGTCCTGTGCTTCCAGCTGAGGTGAGGAGGACAGCAGGGCAGCCCCAGTGGGGATGTGACACTATCACCTCCACTCAGGTGCATTGGCAGGAGCGCACTCCTGGCCGGGCAGCTACCTGCCTCACTAGGGCCGCACTGGGAGCAGTGCAGGCTGTCGGGGAACTGCATCCACTTGAGATGATTCCATTCTGCCAGCACCTCCCCTGGGAAAGCCGGTTACAGAGGCCCAGTGCAGGCCCCTCCCTGTGCAGAGAGGCGGGCCTCACCGTTCAGTGGGGACTTGACTTGGTTTGATGGGCTTTCTCTCCACAGCTAAAAAATGTTAGTCCATAGTAGTGAAGAAGTCTCATTGTTCTAAGCCTGAGTGCTAAGGACAATGCCTGTCTACAGGTAAGTCGCAAAATACAGTTAACATGACAGCCTTGCGTAATTCCACAAGTTCCCGTTCTCTAAGGTTAGGGGCAGCGGTACTGAGTCCACAGAATGAAGTTTCTTTGACAGTGGGAGTGGCCATGGGGCTTTTGCAGTGACTCAGAGGCTGGGGTGCTGGCCTGGCTGGAGGCAGCACTTATACTGACATTTCCAAGACGACACTGTCCACCTGCCGGCTCTCGGTGAGGGTTGGTGGTCGACCATGCCCCTGTCCTCTGCTCCCCGCTGCCCAGCTGGGGCGGGGTGAGTCCTGTCCCTCTCTGGGGCTCCCCACCAGCCAGCTGGCCTTTCCAGACACTAACTCTCAGTCATCACTGACACTCGTCTCCGGCACTACCCCTCTTGGGACTTAATCTCGTGTTTTGTGTGTTCTACGTGTTTTTTCCTCTCGACTACTTTCCATATGATCACGTTTGGTCCAGTTAAGTCTATGAGTATCTCCTACTGAGGGTGAAGTGTAGCATTTTCTTCATGCCTCATGATTTTCAACTTTGTCCTAATGAACAGCGTTGCCCTTTTTGTTTATTCAACATTTTTACAAGATCACGGGTGGCCACCTCCAGGTACACCCTCTTAGGGACCCATGCAGAGGGCGACGGCAGGGAGGAGACTGCCCCTGTGTCAGCCTGGGTGCCGGGGGCGGACACAGAGAAACCAGACTGGTTTCTCGGACTGGAACCTAATCTGAAGAGTCGTTAAGTTGGCATAAAAAGGAGTTAATTTGGTCAATGTAAACAGTAGTTAACCCAGTATTAAGAATTGTTAAGTAGGCATAATGAGTAGTTAACATGGTATACAGAGAATTTAACCAGCCATAAAAGTAGCTAACCAGGGCCCTGGCCCCTGTGGCGCAGTTGGTTGGAGTGTCACCCCATAACTGCGAGGCGTGGGTCTGATTCCCAGTGGGGCCAGTGCCTGGGTTTCGGGTTCGATCCCTGGTCCAGGCGGAGGCACGGTCTGGGTGTGTACAAGCCCGGTCTGGGTACCTGTGAGAGGCGGCCAGTCAGTGCTTCTCTCTTGCATTGAAGTTTCTCTCTCTCCCTTCCTCTCTCTAAAAGCAATGAAAAAAACAAAGAGTCCTTGGGTAAGCATAAAAAAAATTAAGTTAACCAGACATGAAGAATAGTTAACCAGGCATAAAGAATAGTTAACCTGCTTGCCAGAGAGATACCAGCTGCACCCAGGACTGGGTGGCTCACACCGAGGACCCGAGTGGTGGGCCCAGCCCCAAGCAGGAGGCGCCCCGTCCTGAGCTGGCTCGAAAGCCTCACTATGCTGAGTTCTTCAGAACGGAACTGCAGGGCGGGTGCGTGCAGTTGGGTGGCTCACTCAGGAGACCTAGCCCCGTTTCCCAAGAATGGTGGCATGGCCTGCCCCTACCCAAGTGGACACTGACCCAGGGAGGCAGGAAGGGCAGGGAGAGGTAGGGCCAGCTCTCGAGAAGCCTACCACAGAGCTGGGATAAGCAGCTGAATCCCGGGGATCCAGACACCAAAATCAGGAGAGAGTGTTTCAGAGGGCACAGGGAACTCGGTGCCGTGCTCTGAAAGTGTACAGTGATGTATTCCGGGATCAGAGCCAGCAGGCCCAGGACAGTGGGGGGCTGTGGGCAGCCCTGCCCTGGCTCCATAGCGTCTAAGGACTCTCACCATGACCAGCCCAAGCCAGACCCTGTCACCTGAACTCTACAGTCTGCAGAGCACTGTAGTGTCCCTGCGCTGCCCTACCCAGGTCCACCACGCTATCTCTCTGGTCGCCTGGAGCGTGGCTAGCCCCACTGTTCTCCCTATAGCCCCTTCTCCCTGGCCTGAGGGACCTCTTTAAACTGTAAATATGACCCACTCAATGCCCCTCCTCTGCCACGGTTCCCACAGTTCCCTTAGAAAAAGGCCCGAGCGCTGTGATGACCTAGAACACCCTTTGCTCTGCTCCATCTGCACCCTCCTCTCCTTCAGCACGCCAGCTCCTTCGTGCCTGGAACAAGCTGAGGCCCTCACCTGGAGCACCTTCCCAGGCTTCCAGGCAGCTCCTGACTCTACTCCCTCTATTTCAGGTGTGTGAACTTATCCTAAGCACCTACCCAAAGAGCCCTCCTTTGCTATGATCTGTTCCCTCACTCAAATCTACTATTCTGTTCTGGCCACCAAATGTAGCAGGGTTTAACCACAGAAACAGAACCAGTAGGCTGTCTGTCCAACCATCCACTCATCCATCCATCCACCAACTACCTCCCACCCATCTGTCTATCCCTCTTTCCATTCATGCACCTGTCCATCCATCCATCTTCTATGGATCTCTTTCAGGGAATTGGCTTCCACAATCATGGGGTTATAAGTCCCACAAAGTCCCTGTAAGCCTCTTTCCCCATCTGATGCTAGGACTTCAAGTCCATAGGGTGGGCAGACAGAAAGGGAGGGTCATGAGCAGCAGGGCCTCTCAAGAAAGGGTTGAGCCCCAGGACAGCACAAGCCCCTGCTATGAGCTCACCAGGCACTTGTGAAATGGATTAATAGTTGGGTGGATGGATGGGTGGATAATGAATGGTTGGATAAATAGATGGATGGTGGGTGGATAGATGGGTAGATGGATGGGTGGATAAGTGGTTGGATGAATGGGTGGATGGGTGAGTGGGGGGTGGGTAGTGGGGTGAGTAGTTGGATAGATGGATAGGTTGGGCGGATGGGTGAATGGGGAGGTGGGTGTATGGGTAAACGGGTGGATGGATGGATGAGTGGATGGATTCCTTTCAGAAGACATTTTTGTTATTGTACAAAGTTGGTATTTATTTAGACTTCTCTATAAATGTGTGCTCTTTATTGTATTTCCACGCTTTCTTCTCCCTTCATTACCTCCTGTTTTTTTTTTTCTTTTAAAATTTTAGCAACATAAGCTTTAATTCAATGGCCAGAGAATGGAGAGGCAGGTGTTAAAGATCAATTTCTCATTCTAGAGAAGTCTGGGGGAGATCATAGGGGTAACACAATGAGGGGGAGGCATATGCATTAGTTTTCCAGGAACGGGTGGGTCCCTTCCCAGAACTGGGGCGCCATCCCTTTTCTCCTCTCACATTCCAAGTCAGATCTGTCACGGTGCCAGTGGGTGTGGCAGTTAGCAGGCAGGGAATAATGGGCTTCAGGGTCTCCTGGAGGTGACTCAGCACTGTCTTGGTTCAGGCTGTCTTTGGTCAGTTTGTTATTCTAGTCCTCTTCCTTTGTTTGTGTTATCCCAGTAAGAACAACCAACATGGACAAAACATGGTGGTAGGAGTCCTAGTTGGGAGGGTTGCTTGTTTGGGTGGCCGGCAGCCCAGTGAGTGGGAACAGGTATCATGACGACTATATTACAATATATAACTTAATTATATCTTGGCCTTTATCTGTTCATCATAATGTTCATGTTTCCCTTGGTTTTGGATCATTTGTCCTCAGTTTTCTATGTAAACTTTTATTTGATTCTGGGTATTGGTTATGACAATATTTTTGTTAATTTGAGACCCTGGACAATGCTCTTTTCCTCCAGAAGCAAAAGCAGCCTTTGTTTTCAGGCTGTTAATAGGAAGGAGAACCAGTCAGCTTCGCCCAACTTGGGAGCGAACTGTGTGGATGCTGGGTTTCAGTCTTTGTGCAGACTGACCTCTTTACACCCCAGCCTGACTCCTTTGCTCTGGGCCTCAGCGCTTTAGGTCAAGGTCCAGGTTATTTATCAGAGCCACACACCCCACAAGTTTATCCTGTCGTTGGCCATGCCCATTCTGTGAGACTCAAAAGCAGCCTTCAGTGTCTTAACTCTTGTCCATTGCATGCATTTATGGGCTGCATTATATGTCTCTCTCCCCCTCTCTTCCTCTTCCTCCCCCTCCCTCTCTCCACGCATACAGAGGGAAGGACACAGGGATGTGGTGGCCACCTACAAGCCAGGGAGAGGGGCCTCACCTGAAACCAATCCTGCTGGTACCTTGATCTCAGACTACCAGCCTCCAGCACTGTGAGAAAAAGTGACTGTTGTCTAAGCTGCCCAGGCTGTGTATTTTCTTACGGCAGCCTGAGCTGACTAACACATCGTACGAACTACCAAATGTATCTAAGGGAAAAATCACTTCCCTCCTTTCTGGGATCTTCGCTCCTCAGAGAAAGTTTTCTATGTTTTGGTAGCTATCTAATGCCTTCAGATCTTCAAAATATTTCATACAGATCTTCTAGTTGCTCAAAACCACAATAGTTTTATAACTTGCTTTAAGAAACTTACTAACATCATATGAGCGTCTTATCTACTATTTTTTAAAAAATCATCACTCAAGGATGTGTTTATTGATTTTAGAGAGAAGGGAGAGAGAGAGAAAGAGACAGGGAGACAGAGAGAGAGAGAGAGAGAGAGAGACAAACATCGACATGAGAGAGACACCCAGCAGCTTCCCATTTGTGCCCAACTAGGGATTTAACCTGCACCCCAGGTATGTTCCCTGGCTGGTAATCAAACCACAACCTTTCTGTGTATGAGACAATGCTCCAACCAATCAAGCCATCAGACCAGGGCCATTATTTTTTAGACATTTAATAGTGACATAACCTTTCATTATATGAGTAGACCATAGTTTAATTAATTTCTTATTGTAACACATTTAGATACTGTGTTTTATCAATTCTAAATTATACATTTTTCACACTTTAAGTCTGAAACCAAGATGTGTCTTCCATCCATAACCCATCACAGTTTAATGTATATGTGGCACATATGTTATCTTTTATAACTGAGGCTGTCCTGGAGTTGTTGATGGATCTGAACACTGCTATCCCCAGTCATACCATAGCCAACAGTCTGGGGTTTGATTCCCGTTGTCTGCCTCTGTCTTGGAAGAGGCTGGTTCTCAAAGGCTGCCCTCTTTCGGAAGCACAGCTTGAGCTGGCCATTCTGCCTGGGGATCTGCTGGCAGAGGAGGGTCACTGTCCAGGATGAAAAGGACCAAACCCTCTGACCCGGCTGAGATGGGAGGTTGGCTCTCAGTCCTTTCATGGAGAGACTTGTCAACATGTGAAATGACAGCCCTATTTTGGGGAGCCCCCTTCCCTTCCTAAATGTACCTCTGGTCAAGAAAGTAAATTTTTAGGAGTCAGAGATGGTTTGTGAAATTAGAGCCCATAAAAACTTGGCACCATGGCTTGCGATGGGAACAGGAAGTAAGTGGAACCCAGCCGGCTGGGTCTTAGGATGGACATTGTTCTGTCACTTAGGTTCAAATCCAAACCCCGCTATTTCTTAGCTGTGTGATCTGTACAGCCTACCCTCCCCCTAAACTTTAGTTTCTTAATTGGCAACATAGGGATCATGAGGGTCCCAGCTTCTGTTTTGTGATGCTTGAGTAGTACTATGCTTGGCACACTTTTGAGTGATAGATAAATGTAGGCCATCACCGGTCCATTTCATTTGAAGGCATCAGGATTACAGACAGGGAGGGTAGGAAGAGCCAGGGCTTGCTAAGAATGTGCACCTCAAAGTAGTGAAAGGACATACTGACAGTGGCCCCCATTCTCTGGCACATTTTTGATGTCCACTGGAGCCCATCTCAGTGGGGTCTAACCCTGGGTTTGCCCTGAGAGGCAATAGGGCACATCAGTCAATCTCATTGACCAACTGCCTGCTTTCAAATCTCAGTCATACCACTTACAAACTCTGGGACCTCAGGGTATGGAACTTAATTTCAGAGTACCTCAATTTCCTCACCTATAAAATGGGCTGCTGTGAGAATTAGGTTCAGAGTACTAGCATCTGGCACAGGGTATGCACTCCAGAAATGTCAGCAAACCGGTCACAACAAGGTCTCCTACTCCCGTCTCATCTCCCCTAGGTGCTCAGCTTCCACTTGCCAGGTTCAGAAGCCTCAGGTGGGGACCAGACAAAAGAAGAGGAAGCCTGAGGAAAGCCCAGCTAAGCTCAGAGTGAGACGTGGACAGGAAAAGGACATGCTGTATCCCTGATCCTTGTTTATGCGTGTCCACCTGCAGCTCTGGGTGGAGGTGACTTGAGTTTTTGTGGGTTTCAAAATGAATAAATGCCATGTGTCCTTGGTGGAGCTGATGTGAGGGTCAGCTTTGGCCTGCCTTCTAGTTCCGGAGTTCCTCATGACCTGACATTCGGCACCTGGGTGAAGAAGGCCCCTTTTCCAGTAGGCACCCTGGCATACCCAGGTCCTCTGTGGCCACCGAAGGTGGTTTACCAGACAGGCCTTATTTTCCTTTTTCCATGGAGAAATGCATTCTCCATGCGGGAACTGAGTGGCGGTACCTGGGCTTCGCTGGCTGAGTTCAAGCAGACGGGGACTAGGTCTGTGGATCAGGGCACTGAGGCAGACAGACCCCAAAGTATTGCATCAGTCGTCGTCCCTGCAGCCCTGAGGCTGCACCCGACCCAGCCTTCTGCCTAGCTCTTTGTGTGACACTCCCATTCCCACGCCCCGCCCCGACCCCAGAGTCCAGAGCGATTCCGCCTTGGGTGCCCTGTGCCGCTCTAAAGTCCCAGCGCGCCCCACCCCCACCTCTTGGTGCCCCGAGCGCCCCCGGGTGTTGGGGTGCTGAGATGGCGCGGAGCCCCGCCCCGTGACGCATTCCGAATCGTCCGGAACCTCAGCCCAACCAGGCGCGCGCTCGACGCCTCCGGGCGCGCGCCTCGTGCACGCGCGCCCCCACGTGACCTTGCCCCGGCCAACCAGTGCGCGGGGATTTGGGGGGCAAAGCGCGGCCCCGCGAGCAGTTGCGGCGGGAGAGCGGCGGGCCGAGAGCGTGACTTGCCCGCTCCCGCGCTGCCTAATTCCTTTCCTCCGCTCAGCCACCCCGCCACCGCTCGCAATCATGTCTGAGGAAAAGCCCAAGGTAAGTGCTGGTGAGCGCGGGCCATCCTTCGCTCGACCCCCTCCCGTGCCGTTCTGTCTGCTTCTGCCGCGCACTGGGCACCTTCCGGATCTTGGCACTGCCTCCTCGGCCAGGGTACAACATGGTAGTCTGGGCCAGCCCGAGCCCGGGCCTCCCGCCCCTCCCCCCGCAGTGGAGCTGCTCTGCTCCCCTCCCCCAGCCTGCCTGCCCCGCCCTCCGCCCAAGCCCCGCCTCGCCTTCAGCCCAGGCTCCGCCCTACCCTCCACCCCCACAGCCCAGCCTGCCCTCCGCTCAGGCTCCGCCCCTACATCGCAGGCGGGTCTTCACACCCCCTGCCCAGGCTCCGCCCCAACTGCTCGACCCTCACCCCCTGGCGTGGCCCTTAGGGTCTTGCTCCCACTTCCACTAGGTTCAGGTCCACCACTAGGACGGGGGCGGGGCCTACACGGAGCTCGGAGGTACCGTGAGGAGACCCCTCGTCACAACCCTCTTGGCTCCAGTGCCCCGTTACTGCCGCCCCTTACCTGGCGGCCTATATACCGTGTCCTGGACCACCTGCCGCATCCAGACCCCCCCTTCCAGACTGCCCTCTCCCTCCTGGGTCCCTTCTACCGACATCGCTCCTACCACCTCTGGAAAACCAGCTCCCCTTCCATCTCAAACCCCAGTTGCAGGAATCTGGGACCCTGCCATCCCCTTTCACGGAGAAACGCTCCCCCCCTCCACGACCCTTCTCCTGGACCTTCCTTCTCCAAGACCTGTGTCACAGCGGCCGTTCACCCACTAGCCCCCTCGCTCAGAGATCTGTCGGGCTACCGAACCTGTATGGGCGCGCTGCCGACCTTTACCTTACTGCTCCTCCTGCCTCACCCTCGGGCGTGCGCTCACCCTTTCGCGCCAGGCCCTGCGGGTGTGCGCCCCTCCTCCCCACGTTGTCCCCACTAGTCCCCATGGCGCCCTCTGCTGTGTGTTCCTCCAGGGCAGTGATTTTCCTTGACTTTTTTCTTTCGTTTCCTTTTCCTTTTAAATTTATTGATTTTAGAGGGAGACAGAGAGAGCAGGGGAGAGAGAAAGGAAAATGTCGATTTGTTTTTCCACTTATTTATGCATTTGTTGGTTGATTGTGGTTATGTGCTCTTACTGAGGATGGAACCTGCAACCTTGGCTATGGGGAGGATGTTCTGACCAACTGAGATACCCTGCCAGGGCCTGGGCAGCGATTTTCAACCTTTTTAATCTGATGGCACACTTAAACTAACTACTGAAATTCTGTGGCACACCCCAAAATATATTTTTTGCCGATCTAACAAAAATAGGTAGGATTTTGATTCATTTACATCTGACGGCTATTGTGTTGACTGTGTCATTTTTTTATTTGACAATCGAAGGGACAAGAGGTGAGTGCCCTGACCAAATAGTCAAGTATTGCGTATTTTAAAAATTCTGTGGCACACTGGTTGAAAATCACTTTTCCAGGATATTGGCTGTCAGTCTTTGAGAAGGTCCACAGCTGTTGTGTAACTACTCTTACTGAAAACAGGTTTCCAAAGTTTTTGGTCTGCACTGTCAGAGTTTGTTTATCCGACCAAAAGGAAGCACTGCTGTTGAGTTGAATGCTCTGCACACAGGCTTCCTCCGATGCCAGCCTGGTGCCGGAGATTGCAGCCCTCAACACCATGGATGTGGAAGCCAGCACCCCCTCTGCCCTGCTTTGAGTCAAGATCGCATTCTAAGCAAACTTCCTCTCTCCGTGTTCTGTTGGAGCTAGCTGCCTTCGCCTTTTGTACCACCCCTCCCAGCCTGATCATTTGGCCAAATATAAATGCCTTTCTTTGTTTTCTGGGTGGCTTCCCTTTACTGAAGTTTACAATGAAATACACACAGTACTTGTTTCTTCAGTAAGTAAGTTTAAACTTAACTCTCCCACGTGGTCAACTTCCATGGCCCTTTCAGTTGAATAAACGTATTTGTATTGTGTACAAAATGACTAAGTGGTTTGCAGTGCTTTTGGTGCCAGCCGAGGAGCCCTCTGCTCTGGGTTTGGCTGGGAGGGGCGGAGGCGCACTCCCAGGTCATGGAACTGGCAGGAAGAAAACCTTGTAGGTCAGCGGGGAAAGCAGCTTCTCACTCCCCTGCGTAGCTGAAGCAGGGAGCTGACTACAATGAATTGTGGATTGTGTGAGTTGTTTTTAGGGTTTCTTTTCTTTTTAAAGATTGTATTTATTTTAGAGTGAAAGGGACAGAGAGGGACAGAAGCATCAATGTGTGAGAGAAATATCGATTGGTTGCCTCTCGCACACTCCTACTGGTAGAAAGAGGGGAAACCTGGCCTGCAAGCCAGGTATGCGCCCTGACCAGGAATTGAACCAGAGAACCCTGGTTCACAGAAGGGCACTCAGTCCACTGAGCCATGCCAGCCAGGGCTGTTTTTCTTTCTTTTACTCCTTGTATATTAGGAGCTCACCAGGGGTCTGGTACAGGCCAGTATTCTTGGTGTCCCTCCTTTGGAGGAGAGAGGTACCTGGGGCCTTCTCTGGCTGTACTAGCTCCGCCCCCTACTGTCCACTTAGGGAACCGGTGCCCTCCTCGTCCCTGGTGAGGAGGCCCACTGCCCAGTCCTACTGCCTTTCTCTGCCTGGTCTGCAGCTGCTGCCCTGTGTTTCTGTTTGTTTTGTGTTTTGGTTCCTGCATCTGTTTGTTTGAACCCATCTATAATTTTTCATTATAAAAACAAATGTTTCCTCTGTCCACATGCACAAGAATTAAGTTGGACTCAACACCACATACAAAAATTAACTCAATGGATTAAGGACCTAAATAGAAGACCTAAAACAGTAAAACTCTTAGGTGAAAACAGGACAAACACTTCTCAGCATTGAACGTGGCAATGATTTCTTGGGTATGATGCCATAGGCACAGACAACAAGAGTAAAAACAAACTGGACTTCACGAAAATTTAAAAATCTGTGCATCAAAGGATACTGTCAACAGTAAAAAGGCAACCTACAGAAGGGGAGAGGATATGAGCGAATCATCTATATAAAGTAATAAAGGGTTAATATGTGGAATATGTACAGAACTTATAAAACTCAACAACTGAAAAACAGTCCCATTCAAAAATGGGCAAAGGACTTGAGTAGACATTTCTCAAAAGAAGGTATACGAACAGTCAATAAGAGCCCTGGCCTTGCCCAGGTGGTTAGATTGTTGTCCTTATACACCAAGGCTGCGGGTTCAATTCCTGGTCAGGGCACATACAAGAATCACCCAATGGATACATAGTTAAGTGGAACAACAAATTGATGTTTCTGTCTCTTTCTCTCTGGCTCCCTTTCTCTAAAATCAGCACATAAAAAAATTAAACCATCAATGTTCAGTAAGGACATGAAAACATGCTTAAAATCATCAATTGTTGGGGAAATGCAAATCAAGACCACACACCCAGTGGGATGGTTACTATCAAAAAAACAGAAAACAAGTGCTGGTGAGGACATGGAGCAGTCGGAACCCTCATGCACTGGTGGTTGGAATGTAAAATGGTGCAGCAGCTGGGAAAACAGTATGGAGTGTCCTAAAAAATTAATATAGGAACATCCTGTGACCCAGCAATGCCACTTCTGGGTATGTACTCAAAATAATTAAAAGCAGGTTCTCAAGAGGTACACTCGTACTCACTGCAGCATCATTTACAGCAGCTAAAATGTGGAAGCAGCCCACGTGTGCATCGATGGATGAGTAGACTACAACATGTGGTCCATCCGTACAATGGAATGTTATTTGGCCTTAAAAAGGAGATTCTGACATATACTATGGTGTGGATAAACCTTGAAGACATATGCCAAGTTAAATAAGCCAGTCACAAATAGGCGATTACTGTGTGATTCCACTTATACGAGGGACCTGGAGTCATCAAATTCAGAGAAAGAAAGTAGATGGTGGGCTGGGGGAGGGGAGTTAGAGTTTAATGGTGATGGAGTTTCAGTTCTACAAGATGAAAAGAGTTCTGGAGATTGATGATAGTGATACTCCCACAACATTATGAATGTGTTTAATGCCACTGGAAATGGTTCAAATAGTAAATTTCAGGTTATGTGTTTTTTTAACAATAAAAAATGGGGAAAATTTCCTAAGTGCAGTGTGGTGCCCTGGATCGGGTCCTGGAACAGAAAAAGGACACTGGTGAAATTAGTTGTGAAGCTCGGGTCGGCGCTGATGATGTGCCAGCCAGTGCTGGTTTCTTAGGTGTAGCAAGTGCCGTGGGTGCCAGATACTAATGTTTGGGAGACAGGGGGGTGGGGGGGGGGATTTTCAGGAGCTCTCTGTCTCTGTTTTGCAACTTTTCTGTAAATGTAAAAATTGTTCCAAAACAATTTTATTTGGGAAAAAAACCCAAATGCATGTTTAATCTCTGGGGGATGAGGGTACTCCTAGAGGGGACCCCACAGCCCATCCCGGCCTCCCGTCCCTGAGCACTCCCGGCTTGTGTCGCTGGGTTTGCCTGCACTGGAGTCCACGCTGTAGACAGGGGTGTGTGGTGCCTAGCCAAGCTGCCACCCAAGGCTGCAGCAGGGTAGGTACCACCACAGGGTGACTTCCTTCAGGCTCCTTGCTGGGGACTTGCCTCTTAGAGGCACTCCGAGCTCCCCAGACTGCTGCACTGCCATTCAGCTTCAAGCCAGAGTGCGGGATGTTGCCACTTGCCCCCCAGCACCCTCTCTGTTAGGACAGAGGGAGCAGGGCCCCAGCCCTCCCAGCAGGGGGCGAAGGAGAGCGGATATGACCCCACAAAAGCTGGCCAGTAGCCCCGGCCCAGAGCCCCGTTGTGGAGGTCAGCTCTTCTGGGGTGCGCTGACAAGGGACACACGGGGAAAAGGGCACGTGTGCCAGCCGGAGAAAGTACAGTTACTTGGAGTTCCATCAAATCTTTTTATTTTCAGATTGACTGGGGTCAGCTTCATCATTTTGTTCAAAAATAACACCTTTATTCCCAAACAGTGCCAGATAAATGAGGTGGCCCTGTGTCTGCAGGACCCCTACTGTGCCCTGTAGGCGCTTCGCTCTGGTTCTCAGGAAATGCCTCTCAGACTGAGCTGCGGCTCCAGGACACAGACTTGGGCATCCATTGTATGTGCGATTGCTCAGGGGCTGTGAGCGAGTCAACGATCAAGTGCCTCTTGAGTGTCCCCCCAGTCAAATGGGGCTGACTGAGCCACATGAGGGAGGGCTGGTGCCCTACGTGGTGTCAGCCACCAGCAGGTGGAAGCTGCCGCACACACTGCTGCCCAGAAAGACTAGCACATGATGGCTTGTCTCTCCCGAGGCTTCACAGAGCAATCTATGGCAGACACGGGCTTGGTCTCCGTTTTTTCTGGATTGAACAGATTTTTTTCTTGGAAGGACCAATCTATGAGCTTTGTGTATTTGTATTGAATTTCCTTACACATGGATGCTTCACAAGTAGAAGTTAAAAATAAATTCTGTGTAAAAATAAAACCATCACATGAGTGACTCTAGATTGCTGGAGAACTTTAAGAAATAGGTTGCTTTAACTTCAAAACCCTCCTGCAATCACCTAAAGGGCTTGCCCTTTAAAAAATAGTGGTTATTTTTGGACACGGGGTTGAGGTCCAGTGTCATATGTTTTGCAGGAGGGAGTGAAGACAGAGAATGACCACATCAACCTGAAAGTGGCCGGGCAGGATGGCTCTGTGGTCCAGTTCAAGATCAAGAGACACACCCCACTGAGCAAGCTGATGAAGGCCTACTGTGAGCGGCAGGTGCGCCGGTGGGCTGGGTGCGACTGCTGTCACCGTGTGTGCAGGCTGTTCAGGGCTCCACTGTCCTGGAAGTGTGTGTACCCATGCATGTGTCTGCACATGTATGCATGGATATGTGCATGTGTGATGTGTTTGCATGTATGCATGCATATTTGTGCATGTGTGTCTGTGCAAAGTGTGCGTGCTCTGTGGTTGTCATCTCTCTTCAGCCCTCTTAACCTCCAGGTCGTGCCCATCAGCTCTTGTCTCAGCATGGGAGATGGAAGGCCGCCCCTGCCCCCGGGGGCTGAGGGTGATGGCTCACCTGCGGTTGGAATCAGTGCGTGTGTGGCTGCCTTCCTTGGAGGCTGCGGTGGAACGGTGGAATGTGTGCTGTGCCGTTGCTCCTTCACATGGTAGCTGGAACGTGCTTTGGAGACACAGCCCTCATCACAGTTTATTTTTATTTTATTTTTTTATTGTTTATGCTACTACAGGTGTCCCATTTTCCCCCTTTCATTCCCATCCTCGTCAGATTAGATTCCACAACATGTTTGATTCCCTTTATTTACCAGTTTTCAAAATAAAAAGCCGACTCACTTGCATCTTCCCCCAGTGACCAGTTAGGTTGAATGCTTAAACATTTTTTTCTATTGATTTGAGAGAGAGAGAGGAAGGGGTAGGCAGGGGAGCAGGGTGGGAGGAGAGAGAAAGAAAAAGAAAGAAGGAAACATCCATCTGTTGTTCCATTTATTTATGCACTCATTGGTTGATTCTTGTATGTGCCCTGACCAGGGATTTAACCTGCAACCTTGGCATATTGGGACGACGCTCTAACCAACCGAGTTACTCAGCCAGAGCCAGACTGAGCATTTTTAGTTGTGATTATTTTTGTTAGTGTCATAAACTTACAGCCCAAACATATTTGTGCTTTGTCTCTGCATCGGTTTTGCTGTCACTGTGCTCTGTTGGACTGACCTTTGGTCCTGGGGCTTATCCCATCCACTCAAGTCGTCTCATTTGGTGGCTTTGCCTGTGTACTGCTGTGGGTAGGATGAGTGCCCTGGCCACTTCCCCAGGGATCCCGTCCCTTTTAAGGGGAGGGGTCCTTCCTCTGGCTTCTTTGGAAATAAAAGTGTTTAGTCCATTTCCATTCCTGGCTTTGGTCGTTCATGCCGAGGGTTTTTGTTGTGAAAGACACCATGGAGAAGCCATGCCTCCCTCTTTGCCCTCCTGCTTCTCAAACCCTGCTCCTCAGAGGCCTTGTCGTCACTCCTTCCACTTTCACTTCTTTTGTAAATATGCTCGTACTTTTCCTTCCTGTGTTGCGATTTTAGAGATCTTCACCTGTGGAAGGTGGGGATTTGGCTCTGACATTGCCACCTCTCACCCTTCCCTCACCCTTCCATCACCCTTGCAGTCGATGGCTCTGGCATCTACTGGACTCTGGCACCGTGAGAGAGCTGTCCGCGGGACCACACCACGGACTCTGTTTACATACCTGTCTCGTCCAAGTTGTTTTGCCTAGTCTGGTGATAGCTGTGTGCCCATTATTAATGCAACCTCCACATTCTCCCCCGTGCTGCCCAGTTCCCTGGTAGGCAGGCATCGGTGGTCACTGCCACCTCTTTGTGTCCTTGCATTTCCCACCATCCCTCCTGGGCCCCTCCTGTCCTGCCCCACCTGGAAAGGTTTTTTTTTTTTTTTGAGGCCAGCTGCATGTCTGTCTGTCATCTCAGAGTCATTCTGGAAACTTCTTTCACTTCCTCCTTTGCATTTTCTGGATCAGTCTTCTGCCTTTTTTGATGGAGCACGTCTTCCAGTCTCTTGTTCAGAAATGGTACATGAGACGCAACATCTGAGGCACCGCAGTCTGAAAATGACTTGCTCTTTATGAGCCTGTGTGCTTGCATATTTGACTGCATGCAGATTTCCAGATTGAAATTCATTTTCCTTCTTTTGGAGTTACTGCATCATTTTCTCCTGGCTTCTAACGGTGTGAAAAGTTCAGTGACATTCTGATTGTCTTTCCTTTGTATGTATCTTGGTTTTTCTGAGCATTTTTGGAACCTCATTCCCATTTCCCATGTTCTGGAGGTTCACCATCACATACTTTGAGGTGTGTGGTTTTATCACCCGTTTCTCAGGCTCTTTCAGTCTAGAAACTTGTTTTTAGTTCAGGAGGTATACCTTCGATTAGTCCTTCATAGCGTGTGCCCTCTCTGTCTCTGCTCTCTCTTGAAATTCCTGTCCGTGGTGCATGTGCCGTTGTAGAATGTTAGCTGTGACCACGTCCACTGTTCTGCATCGGGTTTCGTCATTGCCGTTAGTTTCCTATCTGGGATCTTTTTCAACTTTAGGTGGACAACTTTGTCATGACTTCTAGTTTCCAAAAGTTCTTGTTCTTTGAGGCTCCTTCTTCCCTACTGGCAACTTACTATTGTTTACTAACTCCCTAAGAATTCCATCTATGCGTATGCATGTGTGCACATGCATGCGAGTATCCATACATGCATGTACATGCATATGCATTTGTGCATGCCTGTGTGTGAAGTGGCCTTGGATCCCACCCCCTTCCTTGCCTTCCATGTTCCTCCATCTTAGGTTTGGTCTCTCACTTATTTGAGTCTTTCCTTAAATACCCTCTGACCCTTGGTTAACTACTCATATTTAAGACTGAAGCACTGAAAAGCTGATGGAAAACTGCACACACAGGTGTGTGGACAGGGCTCACACATGGAGGGGACAGTGACCTGCCAGGGTAGTGGTTCTATGAGGGGCTTCCAGATGAGTCTGTGAGTTTCCCAGAAGTCGAGCCCCATCCCTCCCCACTCCCTCCCCGTCTGTGCTCTGGGAGTGCAGTGGAATCGGGGAGGGGGCTCAGAGGGGGCCTGGGGTGCACCTGCTGCTCCTTACCGCATCACTCAAGCCTGGGGCTCCCTCTGCCTGTGGAAGGCACAGCGTCTGGCCTCTTGAGCTTGGTGGCCCTAACTTGGGGGGCTGATAGGAACCTTCAGGAATTATCCAAAATCAGCTGCTTTCTGCATCTCTGCCTCCCCAACCGTCTGTGCCTGTTCCTTGCCTCTTGGGGCTGTATCTTGTTGCCCCCACCCCGTCTGGACCTTGGGGTCTCGCATCCAGGACTTCGGAGCTCCCAGCTCATTGCTGACACCTCTTTTCTGCTGGCTCATTGCCCTCCTGTTCTTTGTCCTGCTGTTTATACCTTCTTAAAATTTCTTTATATTTTTTCAGTAGAGTTTCAGGAGCAGCAGAGATGTGTGTTTTAATCCTGTTTCTACTGTTTAAGCAAAATCAGAGCTGCTTTTAAAAAGGCTGGCGTGGCTCAGTAGATGGAATGCCGGCCTGCAAACCAGGGGTGTTGCCTGTTCCGGTCAGGGGACAGGACTGGGTTGCAGCCACGTCCCCGGTTGGGGGTGTGTGAGAAGCAACCACACATTGATGTTTCTCTCCCTCTCTTTCTCCCTCCCTTCCTTTCTCTAAAAATAAATAAATAAAAACTTTTTTTTAAAAAAGGCAGTGTCTTTGCCCTGACTGGTGTGGCTCCATTGGGCATCATTCCACAAAGCGAAAAAGGTCCCTCATCTGGTTCCCTGCAGGGCACGTGCCTGGGTTGCTGGTATGGTCGCTGGTTGGGGTGTTTGAGAGGCACCAGTTGATGTTTCTCACGGCGGTGTTTCTCTCCCTCTCTTCCCCTCCTCTCTCTCTAAACATAAATAAAACTGAAAAAATACAAAGGCGGTGTCCTTGCACCCTGACCATGTCACCAGTCCCTCAGGATGCAGAACGTCAGCAAGTGCTCCTCTTTGGAGGGAAAATGCCCTCCCTCCTGTCTTTCTTAAGGCCACAGCCATCAGGACTGCATCCCAGTTTTATACAATCTTCTTGTCATGTGCCTCCTGTCACCTGACCTGTTTTCAAGAATGTTTTTTAAATAGATTTTATTGATTATGCTATTACAGTTGTCCCATTTCCCTCCCCCTTTTTATTGCCCTCCACCCTGCACACCCCCTCCCACCCATATTCCCCCACTTTAGTTCATGTCCATGGGTTGTACATGTAAGTTCTTCAGCTTCTACATTTCCTATACTATTCTTAACCTCCCCCTGTCTATTTTCTGCCTACCATTTATGCTTATTCCCTGTACCATTCCCCCCTCCCCCTCCTACCTCTCTGCTGATAAACCTCTATGAGGTCTCCATTTCTATAATTCTGTTCCTATAATTCTAGTTGTTTGCTTAGTTCATTTTTGTTTTTGTTTTAGGTGTGGTTGTTAATAATCGTGAGTTTACTGTCATTTTACAGTTCATATTTTTAATCTTCTTTTTCTTAGATAAATCCCTTTAACATGTCATGTAATAAGGGCTTAGTGACGATGAATTCCTTGAACTTGACCTTATCTGGGGAGCACTTTATCTGCCCTTCCATTCTAAATGAAAGCTTTGCTGGATAGAGCAATCCTGGATGTAGGTCCTTGTCTTTCATGACTTGGAATACTTCTTCCCAGCCCCTTCTTGCCTGTAAGTTCTCTTTTGAGAAATCAGCTGACAGTCTTATGGGCACTCCTTTGTGGGTAACTGTCTCCTTTTCTCTTGTTTCCTTTTCTCTTTTGCTTTTAAGATTCTCTCCTTATCTTTAATCTTGGGTAATGTAATTATGATGTGCCTTGGTGTGTTCATCCTTGGGTCCAACTTTTTAAAAAATATATTTATTTATTTTTAGAGAGAGGGGAAGGGAAGGAGAAAGAGTGAGAGAGAAACATCAATGTGTGGTTGCCTCTCATGTGTCCCCTACTGGGGACCTGGCCTGCAACCCAGGCATGTGTCCTGACTGGGAATTGAACCGGCGACCCTTTGCTTCACAGGCCCATGCTCAATCCACCAAGCTACACCAGCCAGGGCTGGGTCCAGCTTCTTCGGGACTTTGAGCTTCCTGGACTTCCTGGAAGTCTTTTTTTTTTTTTTTGCCAGTTGGAGAAGTTCCCCTTCATTATTTGTTCAGATAAGTTTTCAATTTCTTGCTCTTCCTCATATCCTCTGGCACCCCTATGATTTGGATATTGGAACATTTAAAGATGTCCTGGAGGTTCCTAAACATCTCCTCATATATTTCGATTCTTGTTTCTTCATCCTGTTCTGGTTGACTGTTTCTTTCTTCCTTCTGGTCCGCTCCATTGATTTGAGTCCCAGTTTTCTTCCCGTCGTGGTTTGTTCTCTGTGCATTTTCCTTTATTTCACTTAGTATAGCTTTCATTTTTTCCTCTAATTTGCGACCATATTCAACCAATCCTGTGAACATCCTGATTACCAGTATTTTGAACTCTGCATCTGATAGGGTGGCTATCTCTTTGTCACTTAGTTGTATTTTTTCTGGAGCTTTGATCTGTTTTTTCCATTTGGGCCATATTTCTTTGTCTTGGTATACGTGTTATGAAGCAAGGGGCAGAGCCTTAGGTGTTCACCAGGGTGGGGCCACCCATGTCAGTGTGTTGTGATGCTGTATGTGGGGAAGGGGTAGAGAGGAAACAATGACACTTGCTCTGCTCTCTGCCAGATTTCAGTCACTTCCCCCACTTCCCACAAGCAAATAGGGCCCTTCTTGTGCTGATTCCCAGGTGGACTTGTGTACATCCTGGGACCCTGTGGGTCTCTCCAACTCTCCTGTGAGGTTGGGAGTTTCTCCTGCGGCTGCCTCAACCCCCACAGGTTTATTCAGTCAAGAGGCTTTGAGGCTTTCTTTACCTGCACTGGAGTCCTGGGTTGCGCAGTCTGTGTTGCTCCCTGGTTGTTCCTCCTGGTTTATCCTCATGCGAACTGCCACCTTGATGAAAGTCCTCTCCACCCTGGCTGCCCAACTCTGCCCCTCCTACTGGTCCGTTTGAATGTTTTTTAACTCTTTGGTTGTTGGACTTCCATACAGTTCGATTGTCAGTTCTGGTGTTTCTTGTTTTTAAATTTGTCATTGTTCTTCCTTTGGTTGTGCAAGGAGGCACAGTGTGTCTACTTATACCTCCATCCTGGCCGGAAGTCCAGACCCAGCTTTTCTCTGAGAATGTTTTAAAGGAGGAAAGTGGTGGTGTCAGCAGTAGAAATCCTGTTTGGCCTCTAACGTGGGAGGGATGAGTGAGGGCAAGTTCCTGGGGCTACATTCGCTGGAGCGGTGCTCTCTGAAGGTGCTGGTGCACAGGAAATGGACTGCAAGCCCACCAGTAGGTTTGCAGTCTGCTGGATCATCAGTCTGCATATTCAGAATCCTGGTCTTTTGATGTAAAATATTTGATGTGTTTTAGCTTAATGACATATGCCTTTTCTTTGTAGGGCTTGTCAATGAGACAGATCAGATTCCGGTTTGACGGCCAGCCAATTAATGAAGCAGACACCCCGGCCCAGGTAAGAAAGCGGTCAGGTGCTCCAGGCTGCTTCCCACCTGCACTTTGACTAACTGCTGTTCAAGGTGTCCCTGTTGGGGAGCTACTGACTGGTGCTTATATGAGATACATATGTTTTCTTAATGTCCTACCTTTCTAATTGGGCAGTTCAGTGTTTCAAATGGGAATGATGCCGCTTTGTCAGTCATACTCCTCCAGGCTGGGAAGTGCAGCGGGTGGGCCGGGGACTCAGCAGAGGAGGTCCAGGACAGATGGGCTGAATACTCACACCCCCTGCTGGTCTTGACATTAGTCAATTTGTAGCTAACTTAGTGGTTTGCTTCTTATGCCCTGTAAACATCTGTGCATAAAGGGTATGAGTAGAAAGGAGTGAGTTTTTATGAGTCAGGAAGTTAGTTTTTGTTAAGCACCCCACCTCCCACCCGACAACCCTCTTAGCATTGGCTCAGCATGTTGCTGTGCACGGTCCCACTGTGGAAAAGCTTCGGATGGAGGAGGCTGAGGGTTGATCTGTGGGTCTTGTCATTCATCATCTGGATGACCTTGTGATCCAGTCACTTACTTGTGGGGGGGCTCTGCCTGCAGAGGCACCCCTGTCCACCACAGAGGAGAATAAGTCTATCAAGACGTGATCTGCTTGGGAAGGAAAGGTGGCCACTCTCTCAAAGGAGAAGGGCCAGGAGCATGTTCCTCATTGGGCTTTTGTTGGGTTTAGTTTGCAAAGGAATATGTGTAAAGCTTATCAATCATTGTCAGGCAGTAAGGATCAAACAATAGGTAACATACAAAGAACTATGAGGGCTTATTCTGAGTCAGGGTCAGTTAGCTAAAGGTCTATAAAACTTTGGGAAACAAGCTCATTTTATGTTTGGACCTTTATCAGAAAACTGAGGACATTCTTAGCAAAGCAGGTTTCACAGGATTTTATGTATTCTTTCTTAGGCCTGATGGCCCCAGGGAACCTGCCCTTTCCAGCACAGGGCTGCACTGCCCTTTGTCATTGTTTCAGGCTTAAGTCAGGCAGGGGAAGTAAGGCAGCCAAGAAATTAGACTTCTTGCATTTAGAATGAGGACTCAGGCTATGTCAAAGCTAAGGGGCGAGGGTCCATCACCCCCTTTTCTATAGCCCCCTAAGTCCTTCCCTGAGGGCCCCTTCATGACTGTGCCTGTGTTAGGTCGTCCCTCCCTTGAGGAATCTTACCCATCTCTGGCTAACCAGTCATCTGCTTGGGGCCAAGCAGGGTGAAGTAAAAGGGGGCAGGGGCAGAGGTAGTGCCCCTGCCAGGGAGATAAGCTTTGTGTCCTTAGTGGCTTATGGTCCCCAGGTCTCTCAGTCAGCCTTAGCCATGGCAGGGGTTACAGCTTCTGAAACCAGGCAGGGCGATTCCCAACACTTATTCTGTTGGGAGTCTCATTAGGCTTGTCCTTTAGGGAGGGAGAATCAGAGTGAGAATCATGTAGAAGGGCTGCACGTTTCTGACCAGTTGAGGAACTCTTCTGCTACGGAGATGGTGGTTGGCTCTGTGAAGATTTCTGGGAGGCCTGCCCTGGGCCGCGGGCTGGAAAGCCCTTCACCCACCTGTCACTTGGCTCCTGCCCGGGTAGTGTCTGCAGCAGGACAGGGCCCTCCAACCCTATTTAGTGTATGATTTGCAGCTTTCTTTTGTTCTGAGAATGGACAAAGGTCAGAGCAGATGTCCATGCCCGCAGTGTAAGTGGAGAGGAGCATTTGCCCATCCTTGGCCTGGTCTTGAAGGGGAGGGACAGGGAGCAGCGGTGCCACTAGCAGCAGGTCGCTGCCTGAGAGGGTTCTTTTTGGACTGGGTTTGCTTTGGAATCCACAGGCACCATCCAGCCTTGGTGCTGCTCACTGGGTGTTCCTAACGGGAACATTTAAGGAATAATTTTAGATACTCATTCATTTTTGAATGGGACTTAGTTTTTCTCTCTGTCAGTTAGAGTTAGTTTTAACTTCTTTTGTTAGGGGAATGTTGGTGAATATGCAGCTTATTGGAAATCCTAAACAAAGCCTCTTCTCCCTGCATATGACCCAGGAGGGAGGGCCACAGAGCAAAGGTGTGACAGGGTGGTGTGCACCAGTGCAAGGGAGACAGTGCAGTGGACATGTGTGGTCAGTTGAACAGTTTCTGTTCCTCTGATGGTGAGAAAACTAACAGCTTTCCCCTCTCTCACTGTGCCCCGTCATGTCGATCCTGCCAGCTGGAAATGGAGGACGAAGACACCATCGACGTGTTCCAGCAGCAGACAGGAGGCTCGAGGGTGACTGGCTGCCTCTTGGGATGTGGTCTCTAGAGGGACCAGCCCCACTTTGTCACTGTCCTTGCATTTGCTGTCAAATAGTGAACATGTGACCATGCCAATCACAAAGGAGTCTGCAGGAACCAAGGACATCCACCAAAATTCCTTTCCTCTCTGACATGCTGCAGGTGCAACTCAAACCGTCTGCAGGGACAAATCCTCGCCTGAAACCAGGCCAGCCACAGTGTCATGTTTGTTTAGGAAAATGAGTTGCAAAATTTCTGGGGTTTGTTTTTGCTTTCATTTTTGTCTTTCCCCTCCTATGACATTTCCCTGAAGCTTGTGGTGTGAATGTCCTCTTAGTCTAGATGGGGATTGTATCCTAGGTATTAAATAAGCCCTCCTGCTTATTTTATCACATACAGAGCTCATGTCACCAAAGTCGGGGTGCTTCTGTGGGACACATTTTGGGGGCATTGTGGGGATGGGAGACAAACTTCCACTTACTGTTTCTTGTAGGTTTTTAAAATACTAACTATTGCAAGTTTAGATTTTGTGGGAATATAGTAAAGTTGAAGGGAGAATACTGGAATGCGTTTTAGAAGGTGAAAAGAAAATAACCAAGTCCCTCCATAGTGTGGCCCTGGACGCTCTGTTCCTCTGCTGTCTGCTTGGGCAGAGGTGGGCCTAAGGCCCCCCACAGTGCACGGGCAAAGTGGGGTGCAGCGGAAATAGGCTTTTCCCCTTTTCTTTTTTTAAAAAAATTTCAGTTACCGTTTATATTCAATATGATTTTGTATTAATTTCAGGTGTCCTCCTTTGTTAATACACAGGAAAGTAATTCCCACGTTTCTCACCTGGTAGTGCACTGTGGCCTCAGAGTTCTTCCAGTATTTGCTTCTGATGAGTACTTATGGTCTCTACATAAAAAGTACGATTAGGTATTTCTGACTTTGCAGTGACATTTTTGTGTAAAAGAGCTACTTCAAAGTGCAGTTACAAGTGGGCCCTGGGCAAAGACAACTTCATGTCCTCACGGACTGTGCTCTGCCGCTTTCCAACATTAGCCGTGATTTCATTTCGGTGAAGCATTTTGGGACCTGTTCAGTTCTCCTCCTGCCCTTCCATGTGGAGCCCCTGCTGCCTGGTGGCCCTGCTCTGCCTCGTTCTGGCACCTGGACAGTGCGACCTCGACCATCTCTTGCTTGCCTGGAATCTTGCCTTTGTGTTTCGCTGTTGGGGCGTGGATGTGGTGTCTGCTGGCTCTGCTGTTTGTTCACAATTTGTACATTCTTTGTTGTCCTTTACTACTGTACACAGTAAATATAGTTTGGTATTCTGTCTCTTGTATTAAATCCTGCATTTGGAGGTTGCGGCCAACTGTCACAATGCAACACTTGTAATGACCACTCAGTGAGTCCACTCAGATTTTGATTTAAAGGCTAGTTGATGAAAAGTAAGTATTCACGGGCTGCTTCACCCCCAACACATCTCCCCGCCCCCCCCCCCGCCCTGGGGAGGTCACTCGTGTTGGGCTGGCATGTTCCTGTCGAAGAGTCCACCCCCTCACGTCCCCCAGAATTCTCCCATTTGGTAAGCTGAACTGGCACTGTGATGATATTCATGGTCTTGGGCATCACATGTAAAGAGCTGGGCAGCAGTCTGGCGTCTCAAGTTGTTTGGTGCCTCGTGCCTTTCTATCTTACGTTCCTGTGTAGCTGACAACCTGCTCACCTGCTTTGAAGGTGAGTAAGCTGCTACTAATTTGACAACTTCCCAGAGGACTCAGCTGTGCCAAAACCAGGGTTGAAAATGACCAAGCTGTTTTAGTCATCCAGTGAGGTGAACACAAGCTGAAAGGTCAGGGGCAGCCAGGATATAGCATGTCCACTGTTGCACATGACCATTTACACTAGCCAAGTAGTAGGTGGGCTCAAGCACATTTACAAGGACTGAGTCATTTGCTAGATGCCCTGAAGGGTGGAGATTCAGGTGGGCTTACCTCTGCAGAGGAGAGCCTGCACTCCTCCCTCAGGTTAGGAGAGTGGAGCTAAGAGTTTGGCACGGCAGAGCAGTGCTGCTTGCTTCCCACCCACAGCGCTGACGTAGGAGAACTGCATGTCCTGGAGGTTGTGCCTTTGGATAATAACCTCTTGGTCTAATTCCCAGGATCTCCAAATTGATGCTTCAGGAGTAGATATGCCCTATTAATCCTATCAGTGGAGCGCAAGTCCCGGCTAGCCTTCCCCTGGCTAGCAGTGAAAGCCCCACTTTCCAGGAACCCTCCCAGGAAAACCTGGTGGGTGTTACCCTGCTGTGCTGGGCTAGCTCACAGCTGGGGAAGCAAGATATTAATGCTAAAGTGCTACCTTAACCCGGGTTCAGCTGTTAGATACCTTTTATACTTAAGAACTTGAGTTGCCAAAGATAAAGACATTTCATTCTCTACTTGCTGGGCTCCTCTGATTGCTTAGGAAGTCCTCATATACCGCACCTGCTACTCAGCACCCAGGTCATGCTGATGAGCGGGTTGGCTGCAGCTTGGGCCCCCCAAACTGTCCAGGTTCCTCCTCCATGGGGATGAGTCTGGGCACCCCGAGTTCCGGCCACGCTAGCACAATAACCCCACTACCATCATTGACCCCCTCTTTCCAAACTTATCCCCTGTGGGAAGGTAGTTGGAGTGTCACTACCTAGGAGATGGTCGTCTTTGGCTGCGGTTGAGCCCAGATAAAGTAACCGGCTCTTAGTGGTGGGGGGTGACGTCGCGGCCACGCGTGATGGATACCACCGACCGCAAATGCTTTTTTTCTCCACCCCTCCAACCGTGTCTTAAAAAAAACCAAAACCCTATCTGAATGACGTCTGCCCAATTCGCCCACGTTCATCCGACCACCGTGCGGCTGCTGTGACAGAACAGGCGGTTACCACGCACCCAACCCGGGAATCTACTGCGCAGAATCTTCGGGGGACTAGGTCCTACAGGAACTGGAGCAGCTGCTGGAAGCGACTTTAACCCCACAAAGCGGCGGAAGGGCCTAGCTACTCCCGGACTACTTCCAACCCGATCGCTGCGGTGCTCAGGTCCCAGCCCCAACACCGCCCGGGCCCGGCCCACGCTCCGCCCCATTCTACTCACCCTTCCGTCTCAAGCGCTTGTGCCGGCGCTGGTCTGGCCACTGCGCATGCGCACCTCGCGGGCCGGATGAGCTTCGGCGCCCCAGCTGCAACCCGGAAGCAACCGCGTTGTCTGGCGGGCAGTGACGAGCTCTTGGGACCGACTGCACTGTTTTGCCCAGACGATGGCCGGGACGGCGCTCAAGAGGCTAATGGCGGAGTACAAACGTGAGTCCCGGGCCCCTCCGCTGCCGATCCTCACATGGGGCGGTGCCCCTTCCTTCCTCCTCCCGTCCTGGTCCCCCATCCGTCCGCTGCTCCTTGAGGCCTGGGCGGATTGCGAGGCTAGGAAATCCGCCCGTGGAGCGTGGACTCCTTTCACCCACGGTGCCTCCCCGTTTGTTTACAATTAGCAGCGAGTGAGCCGCAGTTGTCTCCCGCAGTCGCCCTGCTCCGCTGTGCCCGCCGCCTCCTCCTCTCTTTGTCCGTAAACTTGTACGGAGGATGCGTTAAAGGGCAGAAGTGAACGTTACTGCTGCGCTGGTTCAAAAATGTTGACAGTTACATTCAGTCATCACTTGCTGTTTGTCTTCGAAGCTCTTTGGCCCTTTAATTTGGACAATTCCCTAGTTCCACCTTTGCCCACGTGCAGTGAGAGGAGGGGAGGAAAGCCTCAATTGCCTACCGAGAACTTAGTATTTTAAGAGAAGAAACACACTGTGATGAGTCTGAGGGGACAGTTTAACTTTTGGTTTCCTCTTTAATAAGGGAGTGGCAGTCTCGAACACCACCTGGTGTGGTAACAGGCAGTGCCACCACCTGTTACTCTTCCTGGGTGATGTTTGGAAAACCTCAGCTTAGCCAGTAGATTTTTCTAACATTTGGCGGGAGCAAAGGAAGACATGAGAACCTAGAAACGTTCCATATTCTACATTTTCATAGCAGAGTACTCCCTTGGGAGAGTCACCTGTGACAAGTCCTGGCATGCCATCCCATTGCATAGCTGGTGAGACAAGGTGGCAGCCCCCTCCTGGTTAAGGACAGGGCCTCTGGAGCTTCTACTTATTAGCACTCTGACCTTGGCCTTGGCCTTTAACCCCTGCATTTTTCTCCCCTGGGAAGACCAGTGCTTCACAGGATACCTGATAGGTAGCTCTTGATAATGTTAGCAGTTATTGTTATAATTACATGGACAGTACCTCCAGAAGAAAGTTGAAAGTAAACTGACATAATGAAGTCATAAAAATAATCGGTAGATATGCATGCAGCTCCATTTCCTGAACCATATCAGTGGCACTGCGCAGGAAGGGTCAATGTTTGATGAGAGCCAACCAGAGTGTTACAGATGCAGGGTCATTAAAATGTATAAACAATGTTCACCATCTAGTGTCCTCCATAGTAGGACCATGTATTTAAGAGAGAACTGGGAGGGGACCATGCAGAGAGATGGTTCACTCTGAACAGAGGTTGGGGGGAGAGGCTGGTGCCCTTGTCTCCTATGGGAAAGATGCTGGCTGCCGGGCAGGGGGGTGGTCAATGTGTAGGAACATTTAGCATTTCCTGTCATCCTGGTTTCTTTTTCTGGATCTGTGTTTGTTTGTCCCAGTTTCTAGACTTCAAGCAGGAATTAGTTTCTCATTTCTGTAGAGAAGGAATTATATTAAGTCCAGTCTGCTGCTTCAACCCAGTCTTTGCATTGTTCAGCTTTACTCAAGAATAGCCCTAGAACTACAGAAATTTAGAGGTGGCAGGAGCTCAAATACGATTCTGTTCAGTCTTCTGATTTTACAGGAAATTGAATTAACAGAAGCAAAACGATTTGCCTAACTTCTTAAAGCCAGAAAAAAGAGAGAGCCAGGAAAAACCCCCAAATGTTTTCAGCTGGTATCTTTTCTTGAGGTTTTCTTCGTAAATCATCTAGTTTTACGGATGATTTCCTAGGGATATCAGTGGTGGACTTAGGTATGAGTTTCTTGGGGTGGCTGAAATAAAGTAGCACAAGCTGGGTGGCTTATTGTAACAGAAATTTATTCTTTCACAGTTTTGATGGCCAGAAATCTGAGATCAAGGTGTCAGAAGGGCCACCCTCCCTCCCTTCCACAGCCCTGGGGAAGAATCCCTTCTTGCCTACTCCAGCTTCTGGTGGTCGCTGCTGCAATTCTTTGTGCTCCTTGGCCTTTCCTAGTGTAACTCCAATCTCTGCTTCTGTCTTCACGTGGGTGACTGTCTTCCCCTCCTGTACACTTGCCAGTCATTGGTTTAAGCCCCACCCCAGACTAGTATGGCCTCATTTTACTGAGTGCATCAGCAAGGCCCCCATTTCCAGATAAGGTCACTTTCACATATTCTGGGGGACATTATTCTACCTAGCTCAGTATCTAATAGGAACCCCAAACTTACATGTGTAAAACCGAGTCCCTGTTCTTGCATCATTGTTGTACCCCAACCCCATCTCAAGTATTGGCAGCCTCATTCTTCCTGTTTTGGGGGCTCAAAACATTGTGTCCTTCCTGATTCTCACTTTCTTTTATACCCATCCACAAGTAAGTTGATGTCCTACTTCAGACTGCATCCGGGGTCCCATGTGGGACCAAGCCAGTCCCCAGGCCTGGATGACCTCAGTCTTGACAGTCTTCTGCTTCTGCTCTTGCCTCACTTGGTTCTAGTTTTAAAACAGCAGAAAGTCAGATCATGTCACTCTGCCTGGCACCCTCGGCTATAGTAAGAACCAAAGTCCTTGCCGTGACCTGTCAGGCTCAACGTGCCCAGGCCCTTCTCTTGCCTCTCTGACCTCATCTACTCCTCTGCCCCTGGCACCTTGCTTTCCAGCCCAGTCGGCCTCATAGTTGGCACACTCCTGTCTGGGCGCCGGCACTTTCTTTTCCTGGGTATGTATCTTCATTGCTTTTGCTCCGCTGCCCTGGAGAAGCTCTCCCTGAACCACCAGCCTCAACCCGACCTTCCTGGAACTGCTGTTTCTTCCTGTCATTAACCCTTTTTAGCTTTTTACAACGTTTTTTTTTGTTGTGAAACGTATTAAAAATATGTAGAAGTACGTAAAATGCATGTGTTCAGATGAATAGTAAAATGAACATCTGTAGCCAAGACACCGAGCTTAAGAAACAGAGGCTAGCAGTGACTTGAGGAATCTTTATGCACCTTCCACAAGGTGCTACTTAGTGCTTACTGCTACTGAGTTTTGTGTAGATTATTCTTTTCCTTCAGTTTTACCACTTAATATACTTATAAACAACATATCACCTACCTTTGTCTGTTTGTGCCTAATAGGAATGTAGTTTTACCATATATGTTCTGCAGATGGAATCTTGTGCTCGGCACTGTTTCCGAGATTCGTGTATGTCGAAGCATATAGCTGGGGTTCATTTTTGCCACGTCCACTGCCGCGTCCACTGTTGGATCCCTCTCTCCGTGACAAGGTCCTGAGAGGGGGTGTAAGACTTCAAGGAAGCAGTTTCCAACCTGGTGGACGTGGCATGGAAGGCCTTGCAATACCTATTGTGATTGTGCTTGCTTTAGAGATCATGACGTTTTTGCTTTAATCATTATGAATACCCTGGCAGTGATTCAGATAGTGTGCCTGGACCTTTCCCGGCTCAATAAACAGAATAATATCATACTAGAACGTCAGGGAATATAGGCACAAGGAAACAATCAGAACAATCTGAGAATTCAAGCTTAATCAATAACAATCATTAGAAAAACACCCAAGATAAGATAGAATACTCTAGGAAATCAGGAGATAATCTCACTACTTTCTTAGAAGGAATTAAAGTACAAAACATGTTTATAAAAAGAACTCCTAGAGAAACTTAAAAGAAGTACCCTGGAAAGCCCCCTGCAACATAGGAACAGCCCCTCCTTTACCTTGAATAGGAATATATATCAACTAGACAGGCAAAGTAATAAGAAAAGCTAGTTAGTTATTACAAACTGAACAGTCACTAGGGAGTCAGAATTTATGGTACACTGAAAAAACATTTTAAGCAAAAAAAAGGTAGATAGCTAAGTTAGACATCACGAGGGCTTTATAATAAATCTCCTATTTTCTCTACTCAGTCTAGCGTATCCTTATACCCTATACCAAATTCTGAGAAACTTTAATATACAATAAGATATTTCTAACTGATTAATGGCTCTCCTAATTAAAATAATTTTTAACTAAATCTATGGGAACTTTTGTACTTTTACTGATTGCCTTTGTATTGATTTTTTCTGCTTAAATGATCATGTTATACTGCAAATATTAATCACTACCTGAAATGAAAATTATAAAAACCTGCTTGTACTTGCAATAAACGGAACAGAGCTTCACTGTCCTTTGAGGCGTGTTGTCGTCTGTTACCCAGCGCCGACGCCTTGCCCTCACCTGTGGGACCCCCTGACCCGCTGCGGCTGGACCGCGGCACATTTTCACTGCTAAGTAGTGTTTTGTTTGACAGATAGGCCAAAATTTATTACGTCATTGGTGGGCATTTAGGTTATTTCCAGCATTTCATGAATACATAGATGGTGCTTCTAGGAACGTTTTGGTGCACGCGTGCGGGGCGTGAGGTATTCCTGGAGCTCTCACATGAGCAGCTCGACTGGTTCTCAGCATGTTGTTCCCACGCACGGTGCATCGGGTGCTCACCAACACCTCACAGTTGTGCGGTCTCTGTTTTCATCAGCCCAATGGGTGTGCTTTGATTTGTATATGGTAATTATGAATGAAGTTGAACATCCTGTCATGTTTGTAGAATCTTTCACCAGATAGCCATAGACTGGTTTGCCTTTTTCTTACTGGTCTGTGGGAGTTCTTTATACGTTTCCTGTCCTTGTGTATATTTCCAGCCCTTTTTTTGGTTATTCGTGTTACAGTTATCTTATCTCCATCTGTGATTTGTCCTTTTGGCCTTCATAGTGGTGTTTTTTACAGCCACACTTTTTTAAAGCAGTTCGTTGAAGTATAATGGACATACATTTGGAGTGTACGCACAGTGGGTTCGGAGGCACACACACCGATGAAGCTGTCACCACAGTCAGGATAGGGAACCTTCAGAAATCCCTCCTGCCTCTCCATAGCCCAGCTCTCCTTTCTCCCTCCTGGCCTCCAGGTCCCATCCGCTCTGTTATCCGTCACTGTGGATCGTTTTTGCCAGGCACCTTTCATTCAGCATAATTATATCATGATCCATCCAAGTCGTCAGGGTGTAGTTGTTCAGTGTGGT